GCTGTCTTCAGTCTAATAATGACTCAGTTTCTGTCTCCATGTTGTTCAGACAATGGCTCCATGGTGAGGAGGAGGAGGGAGGATCTGAGCCTCTAACAAGAATATTTTTTATACATTGGTTTGTCAATAAAAATGTTGATCTGATGTTCGAAAAACTGTTTCTATTTATATTTTCATAATTGTCCTGCAGCAGGTAGAAAAAACCTGCCTCGCCCCTAAACACAGAAATGCTTCAGCAACAGAGAAACTTCTGACTTTTAACTTAATCATTCTGCCAAAAGCCCGGTTCTACAGGCAGTGAGTCGGTCCCACCGACAGACAGAAAGAACCTCTGATTTATATCAGACATCCTGATTAAGACACGGTATCAACTGTCACTGCGAGTCGCAAGGCACCTGAACCCCCCCCTGTACCACCCGGTACCACCGATGTGCTTACTCTGCTTCTCCTTCACGTTTCTACCAGGCGGGTTAAAACTGCTGCTGACTGGATCTGGGCTGGAGGTGAGCGGCTGTCAATAGAAGTTACTGCAGAACCTCAAGTGTTAAAGGAAGATTCGGTCCACAGCATTTAGTTTATAAAATAAACATCAGGGAAAATACTGGAGCAATTATTAGAACTACAGCATAAAGCCAAACATGCCACAATTAAATGAATCAAAAAGTCCACAAAGTATCCGTGGACTGACATGGGGGATTCCAGGTAGATTCCAGAGATGCACATGGCAGCGGCTCTTCATGCAGGGCCGGTCCAAGGTAAATATGGGGCCTGAGACAGAACCCTCCTGTCCTACTAAGAACTTCAGCATCACTAACATGTTTAAATATTGAAAAGGTGAATCTGTGAGAAGAGACCAGGTTTATTGGCCCAGTTTAAAAACAATCACTGATTATTCATTGTTTGCTGTGATGTATTTGTGAACAAACCCAATTCAAACACAAAAATTACGCCATATTGCAGCCATGGTAACACAACAATCAAACTATCAAGATGATTCTTTAAACTTTTTCAAAGTAAACTTCTTAATTAAATCCTAAATGTACTTTTTTTCTCAGTTGACTCCATTAAATAAAATTTAATAACATTGTCATTCTCTATCAATGATGCTACAGGTTTAGATCTATGGTCTGTTACAATTAAACCATTTCTGGAGGCCCCTGAATGTCTGGGGCCCCTGAATGTCTGGAGGCCCCTGAATGTCCCCTGAATGTCTGGAGGCCCCTGAATGGCCCCTACCAGCAGCAGTTTTATCATTCTAGATCTCAGAGTATATAGAGTTAACCCCTTTGAGCTTTTATGATCTATAAATCAATCTGCAGCCAAGTTGTTCTAGAGGTTAAATAGATATTATTAGGGCTTAATCAGTAAAATGGTAGAAAATGTGCTAATTTCATAACTTCATAACCTTTGACCTTCTCTCCTCTGGTCTGTTTAACAGCTACAGTCTCAGATCAACTTGTACTAACAGCCCTCCAGGACTGTCAGCAGCAGAAACAGAAACTTTATTCCTGTTGGGGAAAATATATTACATTTGCTTTGCATTGTCCCCGCATGATGGAAATGATATAGTAGAATCCAATTAGATTCTTGATTAATGTGGGTTGTTGCTGTGTTGATGTAAGATGTTTTAAGATCTTGGTCAATGTGTTCTTTTTTAAATGTGAGCTCCAAAGGTCTCTGCATGACCCTGTTATTTTTTTTTATTGTTTGCATCCTCATGATGTTCAGAAATCCAAAAGTTATTATGAAGGTTTTAATACATGTTACCTTGTGAATTAAACAGAATGGGAGATTCTGCTTTAATGTATTAATTCCCATCAATTGCTTCTTTTAGCCATAGAAGACAACAAGAACACTGTACTTCTGTTTTCCTGCTTGTGAAAGATAAAAACTTCAAGCTTTTAATTTTTTCTCCTGCCTATTTTCATCCTTATTTTTCCCAAGAATAATCCGATAATCAAGATTTTATTGCTGACAGAATAGGATTTTCCACACATTTTTCTACATGTAGGCTCTTAATTTGTCAATTTTTTACCCTACATTCATAAAACCTTCAATCTTAAACCTCTATAGAGACTGAAAACGTATTTAGTTAACATACCTACTATTGGCAGCTATTTAAAAAAAATAAATATTAAACAAATCAACTCCATGATGACATGGCAACAAGCGCGAAGATGTCCCAGCTGAGCTGCTGAAAAAAGTCAGGAAAGTGCAGAATTTGGCGCAGTCTTCTCTGTTCCGGATTCGCATATTTTGGTACTTAAATCATTTTATTGTAATTTATAATATTTTTAAATGGCGTTTGCTCGTTCATTACGACCTTTTCGCTAAAGCATCTTACTGAGATTAGAACAAATACATTTAGAAAATAAAAGGATTTGCTAAGCTAGCTTGAGTTAGTTCCCCGAGCTGCTATTCGGATTTAGCTTTAAAAAATAACATTAAAAAAACAATGGCGGAATCAAAACTCAAACTTCTTCAAGGTAACCTTTATCCCAGAAGTCTTGTTTTCCGAAAAGGAGCCAATGTCCCACTCGTCATTGCTGGCGTCGCTTTCATCTCCAGCCGGGAAGGCGAACTCATTAACGCTTCCCATACTTCCAGCTAGCAGCTAGTGGAAGCCAACAGGAGCGAACAGAATGGCGGCTGGGAGGAGGGAGGAGGCGGAGGGAATGATAAGTGACGACCTACCATATTAAATTAAAACAATAATGATAATAATAATAAATTAATGAAAGTGGAACATGTTACAGCTGTATTGAGATGACTTACTTTCCTCTGCTGAGAAAATACGCCAGTATCTGCTGTGGCTAAAATAATAGCTTTAAGCGATACTTTTGCTATCTTAAATAAGAGGAAAATGGACCTTTCTTTCAGCCAGCTTACTGGCAGTGTTCAGTACGTTACTCCATGTTTCATAAATCTCTACTCTCTCCAGCAATTTCTCTGTTTTCTTTAAAACTACTTTAAATTGGAAGAACAGTGTGGTGCACTATTTTCAGTTCATAAATAGGTTTTACACAGGATTAAAATTACATGCTAAATTATATAGTATGTAGTTTAGCAGATATAATTTTTACCCCAAAAGTTTAAACCTTTGGGGTCAAAAGTTTAAACTTTTTTGGAAAGAAAAAGTAAAGAAAGGAAATCAATTTCTTGCTGTTGAAGTCAAAAGTTTCAACTTTGAATAGGCCTATATGTTTTTGTTTTAAAACTGTTTGGGGACAGCCACACGTCTTATTGTAATGATACAGCAAAACTTCAACACAGTTTTACTCCAGGAAAAATTAAAGGTAATTGTACAAGTAATTGCTCAAGTAAGATTTAAAGAGTAATGTTATCATAAAAATGTTATGTGCAAAGCCTGGTATTTTGAAGACTAAAATGTAAAAAACTAACATGAATAAATAACATAATTACAAAATAACACATCTTAGGTGGTAGAAGCCCGTTTCCATTTTTCTTCCCAACTACTTATGAAACTAATACTTATAGGAGGCAATTGCATCATGTTTTATAAATATGGAATCGAAACGGAGCAACTAAAATAAGAAAAGAAGAGGATCTGAAACTGAAGTGATCAAATGAGTTTTTCTAATGTATTCCTGGGTGGTTGTTAGTATCGCTGCTGAGCATCCTGCAGGTGTTTCGGGTCTCTGATGATTTTCAGGAGCACAGGTCGCCCTTCAGAGTAGATACAGAGATTAAAGATGGAGAAAGAAATAAACGAGGAAACTGAAAGCCTTACCTGGTTATTTGCTTGTGTCTCAAGCTGCGTTTAATCCGTGTTAAATCAGACCAAACCAGACCTGGCAGCACTCTGACGTACCCCGTCCAGAAGGGGTCGCTCTTTCCTCTGGGCAAGGCATGCACTGGTTTTGTTCAGCAAAAATGGTAAATAACCTGTAGCAGAAGTCCATGTTTTTTTTCTCTTTTAAACACAGAAATTGATTTTTTTTTCTTTCTATGTAATCATGTTTACATGCACCTTTAGAAAACTAAATAAGAGTCAAAACTCTGTAAACTTAACGTGATAAGTATAAGAGTGAAGTATAATATGAAATGTTTCGACTGAGCGCTCACTCAAATCATTTTTATCATGATTTGTAAAGACAAATCATGATAAAAATTACTTCAAGCAAAATTTAAAGAGTTCTGTATTTCATGTGCACAAATTTTGCATAAATCTATTTTTTTCTTCAATGTGTCAGAGTTTGTTATGATCACATTGACAAAAAGTGTAGTGACTACTATATACTACTATATGTGCTCCTATCTGTATCTGTGATCTGAAGCACATTCTGCACTCTTAATCACAATCTTGCTGTTGATTTTAACTTTTACATAATTATATATTATATGTCTGTCTTTTAAAGAGACAGCATGGCATCTGCAGCTCTGTAGTCCATCTGTTTTCCTTCAGACATGAACCAGCAGAGATAAACAAACTCCTTGCTGACATGAGCTTCAAGGATTTTTTTCACAAAACGAAAAAAAAAAAAAGTTCCTGAAAGATATGATTGGGTACTATTATTATATTGATAGGAGTTCGACCAAAGGCTTGCTGCACTTTATCTCTGTTCCCTTCAGGAATGCCTTGAGGTTATGATCCTCCCTCTCCTGATAAAAAAATAAAATAAAAATCAGATTTGTTTGAATGTCCCAGAACTGTTTCTGATGTCTTTTTTGTGAGTCGTGGACAAGCACCAAAGTGTACTGCAGTATAAAACCCCAGGTAGGTCAGCATTCATTAGCAGTTCAGTGCAGAAGTCATTTCATAAAGCTGTTATTGCAATTCGATTTTGAAAATAACAATATCACGAGGCTTAAATTCTGAGTTGTCAGTTCATCAGCTGGTTTTCCCACCTATTCTTCTTGTTGCCACAATATGCAACCCGAGGCTCTGTGCGTGGAAATGACGTCCCAACGCAAGTTCAGGCGAGTCAACCAATAAAAGATGGACTGTCACTGCATTGTCCCGCAGAGCCAGCAGGAGAAAGGGAGAGAGTTTAGGAAGTGGACAGAGCAGAGACAGAAGACTCACATTGCGGTCTGTGTAGGGACTGAGGGGGGAAATAACGCGGCTGCAGCACTACTTTAAGCCCCAACACAGAGGGAGGATAAAATCACACACCCCTCCTGTCTGAATTTCCTCGGGCGTGGGGGGCACACACTAATGTGATCGAGGCTCAGGGACGCTCAGGTGCAGACAAACCAAACTGGCGGGGCTCTTAGGATGCAGAAGTCACCGGTGGAAGATGCAAACTTCTTCTCTAGATTTGTCTTTTGGTAAGCGACGGCTCTGCTTCATTTTTGTTGTGGCGGCGACCAGCGGGATTTCTCACTTTCATTCACTTTTAATTCAGAAACGGCCTTGGCTTTGATGTGACTTTGTCAAATGGGAAGCGGAATTATGTCAGTGACTGCGCAAAGTATCTTTCTGCAAATAGGATTTTCACTGCTGTTAAATGAAGTTGTGCGTAATTGGAGCTGCGCTCCGATGAGCGGGCAGGTGATTCTGGGCTGCATCTTTGGGAATGTAAACCCAAAGAAATGAAATGAAAACTGAAATGAAACTGGACTCAAAATGAAGACAAATCTGAGAAAGCAAGCCTCTGATGAAAGTAACAACAAACAAAAACAAAGCCCTTGAAAACAAAAGGCTTGGGGAAGTCATATTTTCAGACCTGATGTGTTTTACACTTGACAATAATATTTGTGTGTTAGCGATTTGTTTCCCCCCCTTTGGATAAAAACAATTGACTATAGTTTAGCAATAAGCACATCAGGAATGAGGGATCAGAAATAAGGAAGCAGAATTCAGCATTTGTCAGTACCTCTAAATAGTCCTTTCTTGAATCTTTTCACAGCAAATCAAGCCAAACATCTGACACTGAACCTACCATAAGTGTAGGTTCCTTTCTTATTACAACCAAGCATAGTTTAAACATCCCTGTTTCTTTTTCCTACCAGAGCTTTCAGCTTTTTGTGTCTCCTTCCTTAGATTAGAGAAAACCTGACATCCACTCCAAAACGTCTTGGACAATTTAAACACATATTTGTTTATGATTTTGCAAACAGCTTTCATGTGTGTTGAGCAATGTCTTTGAACTCCTTTTATAGCTTCAAACAACTGATAGTCAACTCTGTGGTTCCCCCTCCCCAGGTGGATATCACCTCTACTGAGGAAAGGTTTTACTAAGAAGTTGGAGCTGACTGACGTCTACAAGGCTCCTTCGTTTGACCTGGCAGACACCCTCTCTGAGAGACTTGAAAGGTCTGTGCATCACAATATTTTAATTCACAGTTACTTTTTTCGTGTTGCCTTAGAACAGCCATAAAATGTTGTTTATTTTGGAGATTTTATGTGATAGACCAATACAATGTAGCTGAACATTAAATGAAAGGAAAGAGTAGCAAAAAAACAAAAACAAAAGACAAACTCCATCAGGTCCTGGTTAGAGTGCCAGGAGGAAGATGCGCTGGACAAAATGCTGAGTACTGTGTGAAGAAAACGCAACATTGTACTTCACCATGCACATCATATGTACAGCTCTGGAAAAAAGAAAGAGCCTCCTTAAAATGATCATTTAATTTAAATTTTTATTGATATAAAAAGTAAAATGAAATGTTATTTTATTCTATGAACTACTGATAGCATGTCTCTGAAATTCCAAGCAATAATTTAGAATTTATTAGCAGAAAATAAGAAACAGTCAAAATAACAAAAAAAGATGCAGTGAGTTCAGACCTCAAATAATCCAAAGAAAACCAGTTCATATTCATTTAGAAACAGCAATACTCATGTTTTAACTCAGGAAGAGTTCAGAAATCAAGATTTGGTGGAATAACCAGGAGGTTTTCAATGGGGTTCAGTGCAGTGGACTCTTCATTTTTTCCAGAGCCATTTATGGTACAACTTGGTGCAACTTCTTGCTGTTGGGAAGCTTTTCTTCAGATGAATGGAGCAATATTCCAAACAATCTTGAAAGAAAACATATTAGAGGCTGCAGAAGGCTTGAGATTAGTGTTTCAAGATGTGTGAAACTCCAGTCCTTAAATGACTGACATACATTAGAATGTAGTCAGATTGTAGCGTTCTGCTAAAGACCTTTGTGTCATTCAGGTATTTTGAAGCTGAGTCACATCTAAAAGTGGCAGGACCCCGACCCCAGGAGACTGGAGGTTGACACCTGTGGTAGATCTAAGTATATTTGTGAAATAGAATAGCTAAGTCAAAGTCCAGACCTGACCTGACTGTCTGTGGAAAGATTTATAAACTGCTATTCACAGATACTCTCCATCCAATCTGTCTGAAGTTTTACTGAGAAAAATGGCTAAAAATTCAGATCTCTAGATAAATCTAGAGTTTTTTTTTTGTTTGTTTTTTTTAACTCAAAAGACTTAAATCTGTGATTTATCAGGTTGTAGAAAGTATTGATTCAGTTTGGTTGATTACATCTGCACACCACATATTTAAAATTTGTATTTGTTCCAAAAAAAAAAGAAAATTTAATCTTTTACCTTTTACTTCAAAATCATACACGACATTGTATTGGTTTATCATATAAAATACCCTAATGTTTGGAGTTGTAATGTTTTGAAGAGGGAAAATATTGATAATATTAATACTCTTCCAAGAAACATTATCCTCACAAGTTACATTAAAAGCTACACTTAACTATATTCAGACAATTTTTTTTTTTGCCAGGTTTCCAAAACTTGTGACTGAAATTGGCCCAGAGCATGACATTGTTATGAAAACAAATAACTACATATTAAAGGGTTGTGATATAAAGGCGAACATGTTGAAAAAAATGGTTTTGGTGCGCTTACCAAGACAGCCTCAAAGCCACTCAGTTCAGTCAGAACAACAGAAAGCATTATTTAATTTCCTGTTTTAACAAATGGGAATACCACTTCAACAAGTTCACCAAACTTGAAATTATTATAATAATTTAAATAGTTTTCAAATTACAGCATTCATAAATTATACACAAGAGTGTGGAGCATATATATATTTAACAAATTATTGTGTAAGAAAAAATATATTCTTACCAATACGACAATGAAAATAAAAACATACAATAACTAAAAATAAACTAAAAATAAAAACAAGTAAGGGAAATCATCTAAATAACTGGTTACACTGCACTGACCATTTACCATTTACACTTTAGGATGGTACTACCTGCCTATAGAGGCACGGGTGGCATACTAAGATAATTTGAGTAATTTAAGCCAAATTTAACTTTGCAGTCCTCCTTTATGTTCTTCTTTACTTGTCAACAGTAATATTGCTTGTTTTCTATTAGAAATATTAAAAGGTGGCTGACTAAACATCCATCAGACAATTAAAAAGACCCTCCAAAAAAAAAAAAAAAGCCGGAGAAGTCAACAGTACACTGTCATGTCATGCAGTGAAAAGTAAAAACCTTACACAACAGATCAAATTCATGTTTGAAAACAACTCTGGCTGCGGTTTTCTGTCTCTTTACTCTCTGGTTATGTCCCGAACTGCATTGTCCTATTTCCAGTTGTTTAAAACTCCATCAGCAACGATCCCAAGCCACATTTATTCTTCATCATTCACATTTCTAAAAAATTTTCAGAATACTTTAATACATATCTTTTTATATTAAATGTGTAAAATGTTCCTGTCTTTAGTAACAGATTGCTAAAATAAACAACTCACATTGAGAGCAAAAAAAACACACACACACACAAAAACACCTTCAGTTCCACAATCTGATCTGATTTTAATTACTTTGTGGTTTGATGTGTTGATTCGAGCAGCAACTGGATTTCCAAAACAGTTATCAGCATTTATTGCTCTGAATTTATTGCACTGTGGTACAAGAATGGCTTTATTACACTGAACAAAAACTCTACAGGAATTTGTCATAGAGTCTAGTTATCGCCCTCAACTGTCTAACATACATCTGTAGCAAAAGACAAGAAGAGGAAACCCAAGTCTGTTTGAAGACCAACCGTGTCTCTTAGACAGTACAACACATATCTACTGCAAGCTAAATGTAAAGAAGTGAGAGTTTCACTGAGAACGAGTTGGGTTAGAAGCTGAAATCTCCACATTTGTCTTAAAATTGTGCATCTGACCTTTCCGTGTGTTTACAGTAGCTGGCCACATGCCATCCTCTCTTCTGAACACATATAAAATATGGGCTGGCATTTGAAACTTAGTTAGACACAAACCAAACCTGTGTATGCCAACAAACAGCGAAGCAGTGGGTGGAAGCTTTATTGATCTCATACTCCTGTCCTTTTCCTTCTTACTCACCATTTCTCTTTATTTTTCCATTTTATTTTTTTTTCCTCTTGCAAAATATCAGACGTTAATTTATGTTATACCCCAATGAAGGGTTTCACTTAGCATCAGGTGTTGGAACTATAAATGGACGAGGATTTTTTTAAATGTTTTACTTGCATGTTTTTTCTTTTATCCAATGGTTCCAGATTGACTTCAAAGGATAATAACAAAAAAAAAAAAAAAAAAAAACAATTTTGGAAGAGATTTTTTTCCATTTTAGAATGAACAGATTTAGTTTTCAGTGTTAAACAGCCGCAGCGTTACGCATTGACCTTGGACTTGCTGGTCACCCAGGGGCTCTTATCACCTGAGTGATGCCAACAGACCAGTTAATACAGATGTGTGTTTAAAAAGTCAATCTTAGCAAATGTCAGTGTGCCCAGAGGGTGATAAATGAGCATTGGTTGCTTTGTTTGTTTCAGTCTTCTCCATGGGCAAACATTGAGGACTCCTGGAATGTGTATTCAACCTCCTTAAAAGTGTGCTTTTTACTATCAGCCACTCCATCATTTTTGTTTCGCTCAAGTTTTCAAGCTCAGGTAAATCATTTGTGGAATGATTTATCTGAACAGGAACTAGAATATAGTAAAAGAAATTAAATAGATCCAATGTGTCCAATAACAAACTAGTTAGAATCATTCCAGAGAATCACAAGAATTTCTCTGCATCTTTGCTCTTACAATTTCACAAGAAAAACAATACATTTATTACTGACAGAAATTCAAACAATCTTTATATAATGACAATAAAAAACAGCTTTCTGTCTGGACTGGAAGCAGTCCAATCAATTTTATTGTAGCTTGCATTTAAATTAGAGATATAAGTTACCATGTTTCTCCTGACCTGTTTTCTCCTAATTAAAATTAAAGCTGCAGTATGTAACTTTTATCAAATATATTTTTTTGACATATTTTTTAAAACTGTCATTAAGTTGTGAAAGTATGCCATGAGAGATAGTCTGTGAAAAATGTATTTGCCTTCTGCTATCTAGAAACAACCAATCAGAGGCAGGAGGCGGGTTTTAGTGCTGTCAATCACAGTGTCATGTGACTGCTCATCTTCTCTGTCCCTCTCTCTGTGCTATGCTGCAGCTAGCATAACCTGTTGTGAATGCTCAGTCTTGGTAGCACAGGTACCAATGATGGCAGATAAACGGTTTTTCTGTAACTATAAGTTGTTTATCCACCATTAACACAACAGTGAGTGAGGTTGATTGACAGCACTAAGACCCTCCTCCTACTTCTGATTGGTTATTTCGGCTGGAATGTTGCATTACTTTAGCCAGCAATAGTAGTTCAGGTAATTGTTTAATTGTTTTCACAGATTATCTGTCTCATAACAAACTGGCACGACATGGTGACAGCTTTAACAAATATGGAGAAAACTTATTTTATTAAACTTATAAACTGCAGCTTTAATGAAATACAACAACATAGCATTTTTTGAGAAGTCTGGATTGCTTCATGTACATTTTGCATGTTGCCTATGGTTGTTCCTCCTGGGGAGAGACATTTCAGTAATCTAAAACTAATTTTTAAAAAAAGTTAAGCAGCCTATTTGCATACAGCATGCAAACTGCTGCATGTGAAGTCCACTAGCAGTAAATGCTGTGCTAGTATCAAAGAAAGCAAGACATTTGCCAGGTTTTAAAATTTGGGTCAAATAGACTCAAGAAATTGTAACACCAGGGGGGCCCTAATTAATTTTTTTGTCATGGGACCCAAAATTCCTGGCAGCGCCCATGATCTCACCCGTAAACCACACTCTTTGCTGTAATTTAGTTCTTTTTCTTATGTATACAGATATTTTAAAAGAATGCCGACCATTCTAGATTCCAAAATGATCACAGTGCAAACGCAAGTGTACAAAAATCAAAACAAATGAAAAGATCACATTATTTAATAAACAAGGATGAAGTAGCCATCTTCAGGCTATTTGAACAGGAAATGCTATTTGTTCTTAGCTTCAGTTCATTCATGTTCTATTTATTGCTCCTTTAAGGTCAAGCTACAGCAATTCAATCAGGTTACGGACTCTGCCATTTGCAGGATGTCTGTCTTATTTCTCAGCTCCTCTCTTCTAAATTTACTGCCATGGTTGAGAAAATTGTCCTGATCCATGACTTTATGTTTGCCAAGAGTTACTAGTGTTGTGATCAGACATCCTCATGTTCAACTCTAGAACAGAACACTTTGGTATACAGAGGATTCATGGTTGCCTATCGCTTCAACAAGCCCAAACCATCACTGTCACATTACCTTGCTTGGCAGCTGGTATGTTGTGTTATGTTTCAGTAAACATGGCTATGTATTATGCCCTCTATGGTCTCATCTGTTCAAAACAAAAATAAATCCGAAGTTTGATGCCTTTTCAGACCCAGGTTAGGATTACATCCACAATGTGTGGAACTAAATGTCATAATATTAGATTCTACTGAAAAAGCTATTCAAATGAAAATTAAAGTTTCACTGTAGCCTTTTTTCAAAAACTATTTTATCTCCTAATTATTTTCTTTTCCACTTATGTATCCATGACCAGAATGACATTAGATTATGAAGGGCTGGAGAGTGTTTCTGATCTGCCAATTCAGAGAGAGATTGTGGTGTCATCTGTGGGAGTCATAATGTCTATTGTTGTCCTATCCATTTACACAGATTATACAGTTTTTTTTAACAATATGTGACATCTGCTTAGAAAGTTTTTGGATCTAAATGTGTTTCCACTGAGTGAAATTGCAATAAAACAATGATTTTATTTTACTTCTAAAAAAATTCAGTATTATGTTTTACTATGGCCAGGAATTTGACATAATGTCTATTAGTTAATTGCATAGATTTTAAATTGTTAAAAAATTTAAAGCCATTAGTCACTTTTTTTCCTTTTTTCATACAAAAGTTCAGCGCGGAACCTTTGAAAAAGTGCGTTTCTGGAACACTTGTAAATCTGAGGCACAACATCCACAAACGACAGCATTGGATGACATGTCCCAGTGGGTGTTCACTTTTGCTTAAAAAAAATAACAATCTGATCGCAAAAGACTGTCGTTGTGTTCAAGTTGTGTTAGTTAGTCCATCAGCAAAGCTATTCAAGCCTAAAATAGCATCTGAATGATAAACATGTAGCAGCAGCATAGTTCCATGAGTGATCAGGAGTTCCTGAATCACTGGAAAGCTGAATGGATAAAACAGCAATTTGCATCATTCTGACAGTTTAATAGCTTACAACATTAAAAGCAATAAATATCTGTTGTTGACCTCTTACAACTTTTTATTCAATAATTTATCAATAATTCCAATACGCAAAATGCGTATATGAAATCAAAATACTGCTTTTTTGGTCATTATATAGTTTCCAATTAAAATGTGATAAATCGTTTACAGAACCTGCAATTACCTCTATTGAACATTTTAATTTAATTCTACCACAAATTTTTTTTACCATATTGTCCAATTTTCTTTCTAAACAAATTTGCTTACCTGTGATGCACTGGAAGGCCAATATCATCAAGCAACAACCAGTAGTCGATCTTATTGAACAGATTCCTAAACATGTTTCTTTTTTTCTTTTTCACAAAAGTAGTAGTAACCAAATAGCAACCAGAGACAAACTTTGCTGCTATATGTCTGGTAGATATATTGCTCTACTGCTGTTTAACTGTGCTGTAACTCTGCCCATCCTGCAGGGAATGGGACAAAGAGGTGGTGCTGGCCAAGGGCAGGCCCAAGCTGCTGAAAGCACTGGCGCGATGCTTCTTCCTCCCGTTCGCTTTCTTCGGTGTCCTCCTCTATTTCGGGGTGAGTTTTGTTTGTCTGTAGATGTTTCTTATCACTGATGGTAAGTATTGTGCAAATTCTGTTCCTTAAAAATTCAGTCTATGTGACGCAAGTACCAGATCATCTAGCTCTTGGTTTTTATTGTTAAGTTTTTTTTTTTTTTTTGCAACATGGTGTTTTTTTTCTAACTGCAAAGGGCATGTACACGCTTCCACTCTGATCTCATCGGGAGTGAACTGAATGGATTTACAACCTATTGTTTCTGAAGTAACACACAGCGAAAACTGGAGAAAACATTTTAAAGCATGCTAAGTTTTCAAGAAAATTACTTTAATTTTAATACTTTTTATATAATATATATTTAACTTTTTTCACCAACCCAAATTTTGTTTTGTGTCCCCAAAACATTAGTACATTAGTGGAATTCTCCAATGTTACTAATTCATTGTAGTTATTACATATTTTCTGTCTTTACAGCAGCTTTAAGATATTTAAACTCTTCTGCAACTGTTTATAGACCATTGGTCTATAAACAGTTGTGTTGAAGTTTGAATAATTATCCTTTTTTTGGGTGAACTATCTGTGTGTGATTGCATGTGGGTGTGTGTGCGTGTGTGTGTGCTCTTTTCTCCATTGTATGTTTCATAAGACGATCTTTAAAGTTCATTCAAAAATATGATTAAGCCAATTTCAAATTTGTTTTGAGAACAATATTTATGTTTGTGGCATAATGCCATCAGACCTACAGTTACCTAAAAAAATTGTAATGAATAGGTCATGAACAATAGCACCTAAAATTGATAACATTTTAAGTCCATATGACACATTCCTAATATGCTATGTTGCCAACTTTCACTGCAAATAAAGCGAGTTATTTTCTTGAGACTGAAATTCTTGCCCTTTCTTCTTTGCGTAATACCTGCTGTGACAGTTTTCAAGTCTAACCAAGGACCTTAGTTTAGGTCTGAACTTTGACTGGGTAAGGCTGTTAACCAAAAATGTGTGAAAGCTATGGGATATGATTGATTTAGTTGGTACAGCCCTTTTACTTTAAAAAAGTGCTATACCAACATATTTACATATTTCTTAAAACTGTCAACATACAGTATGTAATGAGACAGATAATCTGTGAAAAGATCAAGCTCCTTCACCTCCTCCCTGAGCTGCTATTGCTGTTTGAAGAAATGCTCTGCTGTCAACCAAAAACAATCAGACAGAGCCAGGAGGAGTGTCTTAGTGCTGTCAATCATCCTCATGTACTCTCTGCTACATGTGCTGATGGCAGAGAAATAACTTAGCATTACAGAAAAACCATTTATCTGTTGCCATCAGTGGCCATGCTTACTACCCTTAGCATTCATGACAGGTTGTGATTGACAGAAGGGTGATTGACAGTGCTAAGCCCCGCCTCTGGCCTCTGATTGGTTGTTTCTAGATTGCTTTGGAGCACTGCGAGAAGGCAGAGCAGCTAAATTTTCAGACATATTAGCTGTTTCATAACATAGTGTCAATGACTTTTCTTTGTTTTCTTTTTTAATTATAAAAGTTATATACTACAGCTTTAACTGCTAAGCAGTTAAAATATGTATTTTTCCTCCAACTGCAGATTTTTAGTGAAACTAAATTGATCAAACTTTGTGTCAACCCACTGTGGCTCCACTACTGGGAACTTGTTGGTCTTGGGTCAAGCTTGTTGCCCCCCAGACAAAACCAATAACTCTAAGGTGGAGCAATGTCTGAAGATGACAGGCATGTTGGACTGCAGTGTCATTGTCCCAGATATATGAGGGGGCCAGGGCAGCAGCTACTCTGTAACTTTGAACAGTGGGAGTTGGTTGTCTCGACAACAGGAATGCTTGTTAGATCCACAGAGGACACTGTGGGAATAAAGTTGTTCTGAAAGGAGTAAATTCAAGTCAACACATTTTTCCTCAGTTATTCTGTAGACAAATTAATTGTTGATCCTGGTGTCTGAGTGGATTATGAGTCATCTTTTTTGAAGTGGTGACATTCAGATACTCTTTTTTTAATGAGTGAAGACAGCTTCACTAGCATCACAATGAGAAAAGGGTAAGTTTTCTTATTTTGTATCTATAATTATTTAAAAAGTTCCATAAAAAAAAAGAATCCTTCATGTAATTTCTTGCATATTTTATTGCAAATGATATTATACCTTAAGGCATTGCAAAATACAGTTGTCTCTTGTTAAAGGATTATATTATTAAAAAGTTAATTTACACATTATATAGATTAATTACACACAGACTGCTGTTTTCAAGCATTTGTTATGGTAATTATGGTGGGGTTTTTTGCTAACAGCTAATAAAAACACATTTAAAATTAGAATATTACATCAAACTAATAAAAACATTTGAATACGTAAACATTGAATGCAGATTGGTGTTTTCAAAATGTGTTTTTAATTTGACGAACAAGCCTCATGTGAGTGCTTCTGCTAATCTACAGAGATGTAATTGTAGATATGCTAAATCTTTATGCATTGGTGTGTGGCCTTACCTTCAGACAAAAAGGCAAGCAATTTTATTCGTGTTGCACATTTTCAACAGTAAGGCAATTCAAAATGTATTACATGACTAGAAGTAAAATAAATCAACAAACAAGCAAAAATCATTTCAGTGCAAAATAAGGGAAAAATGATAACAGGTTGAAAAACAGGATCTTTATGATGTTTCAGTTATGAATCGAAGGCAGCTCAAAGCAAATGGGGTTTTAGCCCTGATTTAAAGTAACTCAGTACTTCAGCAGCTTTACACTTTTCTGGAAGTTTGTTACAGCTTAGTGGTGGATAAAAACTGAATACTGTTTTTTCAATGTTAGGTTTTAATTTTGGGGATGCAAAGTAGACTGTAACAGGTAGACTTTAGAGGTTTTGAAGAATGACACAACAGCAGGTCTTTAATGTATTCTGGTGTTAACCCATCCGGCTTAAAGTGCTAAACCTTAGACTTCAAAATAAAATATTTTAAAGTCTATTCACTAAACTACTGGGAGCCAATGGAAAGACTTTAGTACTGGGTGATGTGCTATATCTTCTTGGTTTTAGTGAGAATGCCAGCAGCAGCGTTCTGGATCAGCTGCATTGCAGCTTGATTTTTTTAGACAGACCTGTTACATTGATCAATGCAACTAAAGATAAACGCATGGATGAGTTTTTCAAGATCTTGTTGGGACATTAGACTTTTAGTCGTACAAATGTTCTTCAGGTAAAAGAAGACTGACTTTGTAACTGTCTCTATGTGGCTCTGTATGTTCAGGTCAGAGTTCTTCATTACTCTCAGATCAGCCTGACCTCTCGTTTCTAAGTGTGATACCTGAAGTAATAGATAATGCTGAAACATCCACACATTTATTTGTTACGAGTCACCTGGTGACATCATAATGGAGAGCTGTGTATCATCTGCGTAACTAATCTAATATTTTTTTTATAACCTCAACTATTGGGAGCGTGTAGATATCAAATAGGAGGGGAACCATTATGGACCTTTGGGGTACCCCACATGTGACTTTTGTCCTACTGATACAAGAAAGTCCTTGTTCTTTTGGTAAGATTTGGGCCAGTTAAGTTCTGTACCAGAGAGTCCAGCCCAGCTGTCCAGTTTCTGATAATGGGATTTTCACAGGGATTTTATTCATATTTTTATCATACTTTTTGGATAGATATAGAGCTCCAAGTCTTTTAGGATGAAAGGCCTTCTAGGCCTAATCTTTTGCTCTTTCTACAAATTCTCTACCATATTCATGTCAGGACTCTCACTGGATCACTCCAAACTGTTAATAAAAGCTGAGGTGTGGAAAAACTTTTTGGTAAAAAGAAAAAAGAGTTGATTGTCAAATTAAACTGGTGGTATTGAATGTAGGTTTCACTGCAGCCTCTAATACCCTGAATGAAAACACTGGAGATGACAGAAAATCTAAAACCATGGGCAGACTTTGTGAGTTGAGTGTATCCTTCAACCTTGATATTAATCAATAATTAATCTCAAGCATCAGATTAAGGATTTCTATTTCACTCTGGTATGTTTGAGGCAAAAAAAAAGCGACAGTAACCTGTTGATGTGTCGTCTTTCCTTTGCAGGAAGCATCCAAGACTGTGCAGCCTCAACTTTCAGGTCGCATTATTGCTTCTTTTGACCCCTTCCATGCTCCGGAACGAAGTCAGGGGTACTACCTGGCCCTGGGGCTCGGCCTCCTCTTCACCGCTCGCTTCATCCTGCTGCAGCCTGCCCTCTACGGCCTGCACCACCTCGGCATGCAGATTCGCATTGCCCTCTTCAGCCTCATATACAAAAAGGTATGATCGGGAGATTCCAGTAATCTTTCAGTGTGACGAACTTTTCTTCCAAATTCACTTATGATCATTGAATTTCAACTAGCCCCCAATTTTTACTTTTTTCAGACACTCAAGCTGTCCAGTAGGGTGTTGGATAAGATCAGCACCGGGCAGCTCGTCAGTCTCATGTCTGCCCACCTCAACAAGCTGGATGAGGTAGGAGAAAAGAAGGCTGCACTTGAAATCGAAAACAGTGAAACATCCTCTTGTCTTAGAGTTTGGATCATTGCTTACTGTATTTAAATCCAGCCTAAATGTGAAAGTTGACAACAGGTCAACAAGCGTCATCTTTATTATGACACCCAGCTGTTGTCTGTTTTCTGAGAATGTGAGGACACAACACCGAGTCAATCGAGTGTTTGTCATGTAAGCGATTCAACAGGTTGGAAAATAAATGCGAGGCTATGCTAAACAGCTGAAGGATTTGCACAAGTGTGTGTGCTGTCACCTGTGTTGTTGGGGTGTCACCCGGACGTTGAATGTAGAAACACTCTGCAATCTGCTTCAGGGCAATTATCACTTAGCTTATATGTGGCCAACCTAAAATAAGTTGCTGACCGAGTTACTTGGTGTGCATGCATGTGTGTGTGAGGGTGTATGATGGGGGGCCTGATTAATAAAAGGAGGAAACTTACAAGTAAATGGATAACAGAGCACTCCATGAACTGAGAACTGGTGCTTCGCCTGTAGTACAGGTGAGATTCAGCAGAAAGGAACTGATGAAAGAGGATTCTTGAAATGTGAGAGTTGGAACTCTTTACTGCGCTGCTTTTGTCACTTTTTTCATTGTGAATAGTCATGCATCTCACATACAGTCCTTGGGGCACTTCTAAAATCATTGCATACATTTCAGCCTGGAATTCATTTTTTAAAATGGGAGGAAGGATTTCCTCCTTGCATGTTTCACATAGGGGTGTAGCTTACAAGCTTGACTGCTACTGAATCAAGATCAGCTCTAATTTGTTGTCTTCTTCTGTCTTCCTGGCTGTCATTTTAGCTGCTCTCCCTTTTTTCTCTCTCAAAGGGGTTAAAGGCAGAACATCATTATTTGTAGGAATGGAAAAATATTCAGGATAAAAAATGGTACCACTTGAAAGAGTGACTCCAGATAAATTCCTAAATAGTCAAATTCATCAGAGATAATCTGAATACAACACTGTAATTTGTTGCCTTTTTCTCCAACTCTTTGGTTGCATCTTTAATCCTTCTTGTTTCCGTTTCTTCTTTCTCCTTCATCTGTATCTGAGTTTTTTAGAAGCTCTTTGTTTCTACGGAGGACTGATGATGCCAAAACAAGCAGTGAAAACAGAAAGATAAACGGCTAGATGAAATGCCATATCCAAAAAAATTTAAAATAAGTGTTCCCAACTTAGAGCTCAGATCTTGATGTTAAAATAAAATAAAATAGAAATAAATCTTCCTCCCACAGTTCAAAAACATGTCTGTCAGGTGAAATGGTCTCTCTAAATTCTCCCTAGGTGTGAGTGTGAGTGCATGATTGTTTGTCCTGTCTGTCTCTGCGACAGATTGACAACCTGTCCAGGGTGATTCCGTTGCTCACCCAAAACCTTCGCTGGAGATAGGCACCAGAACTCCTTATGACCTCACTGGGGACAAGAGTGCACAGAAAATGGATGGATGGATAGAAATAAATCTGACTTTGACTTCTCCTCCCCCTTTAATTCTTATTAAAAGCCAGAAGGAATGGACAAAATAGAACACGAGAAAAAGAAAAAAATAAAGTTTATTATTTCTCAAAAATGAGAAATAATATTGTAAAAGTTTCTTTTGGCCAACTTGTGGTTTCTAAATGACTCGACCATCTTCACTGCATTAAACAACAAGTCTCACCAAAAATCTTTCAGGCATAGAGAATATAAATAAAAATAATTAGTTAATGTTTAGTGCAGTCCATTCAGTTCTTCTCAATATGTATATTACATATACTCATACTGTCACATCAATAGATTTGCTCTGTATTGTGCTGCTTCACTTTGATTGGTGTAAATAAAATGAAACCACCAAAACAACTTCTCAGTTTTCTACAGAAATATTTCTGTAGTGGTAACCTTACAAAGATAAAGCTACCTTAAAATATATGCAGACTGTACGTTATTAAAATACATGCTTATAAATTTAAGAGCAAATAAAATAAAAAGAAATCTTGAAAATGAGTTCTGGCTGTAACAAATATGGCCAAGCGTTGTTTTGAGACACATTTTAATGGTAGCAGTTTTATATACTTCTGTATTGCATTGTGGAACAATTGAAAAGAGACATTAGAGGAAAAGAGATTGGACTTTTTCTGTTGTTGCTCCTATTCTACCTTTCCAGATTAGATCTGCCCACAGCCTGGATCATTTTAAATCACTTCTCAAAACTCATTTTTAGTCTTTGGGTTTTATCTGAAGAAGTGTTTGATACTCTGCTTCTGTCAATTTGTGTTATTGTTGTTCTTGTACAGCACTTTGGTGCAGTTTTCCACCTGTTTTTAAAATACTATGTAAATAAATTGGACATTGAGATTGAAACAATTTTCACGAGTTTTAAAGACCAGTATTAGTAATATTTTAAATGTATGCACATTTATGTTGTGAGTGTGTACCTTTCTGGTGCTCTTTAATTGCTTTTTTTCATTTTTTCTGAAATGGAGGAAATCTACTTGTAGGCCAAACCCTGCTGGTGAGCAGTTCTAATCTTTGTGCTTGTCGTTGGTCACAGTTTGTGATTATTGTCAAAGCCACATGTTAGAGACAGAGGGGAGTTTTCTCACAGCTTCTCCAAAATGTTGTAATCTTTTGAACTATTCTCCATCATGGCAGAAAATCATGGACCTTCGATGTGGGTTAGGGTTAGGGTTAGGGTTAGGGTTTTCCACCAAATACGTTGCATTTGGTGGACGTTTTAATCTCACCTGGTGTTAGTGAAAGTGTTTCTCAGCAGAACTGGGATAAGGCAATATCATTTTCCATGGTATTGCTTTTCTATAATTCAATTTGTGCTGTCCTTGGTTTTTATAAATATATATATAGAGATGATAGATATAGATATATATAATTAGGTTTTAAGGTTTTTGATTTTTGATTTGATTTGATTGTTCAGTTTTTGGTTGTTTCGGTCTTTTTCTTCAAAGACTCCTCCCTCACTTGAGGTATAAAAGCAACAGCAATGTGCCTCTTTGTACTCATTAAATAATATGTGTGCGCATGTGTGTGTGTTTGCATTCCAGAGCCTGGGTCTAGCACACTTTGTATGGATCACCCCTCTGCAGTGTATCCTGTGTACTGGTTTGATCTGGGAGCTGATCGAGGTCAATGGCTTCTGTGCCCTGGCAGCTCTCACTCTTTTGGGCATTCTCCAAGCGTGGCTGTCCCTGAAGATGGGACCTCCTAGGTGAGAACACGTCACCACACACATGCACACATACACACAGAATATAAATAAGCCAGTATAGCATAGAACATATCAACACTACTATTTTGTAGATATTTGTTCAAATCAAATAATTTCTCAGTTTTTTTTAGCTTCCTGTTACTGTAGACAAACATGCAAACTTTCTAGCTGTGCTGTTTCTGTTACGATGTTAATATGCCTGCTGCATGCAGGGCAAAGCGTGCCGGGCTGATAAACCGACGTTTGGCTCTTACTTCTGAGATTGTAGAAAACATTCACTCGGTGAAGGCGTACGGCTGGGAGGAAGTGATGGAAATCATCATCAAAAACATCAGACAGTAAGGCAACACTACTCACTAGACACACAAAATGAAAGCAATTAAAGCATGATTTTCCTTGATTTTTTTTTTTTTAATGTGCCATTTTATTCAGTTGCTGCTCATATCAGTCGTATTCTGTTATGCTTGCTGTAGTGGAGGGATGGTCTGTCATCCAATTTAATGGAAAAAAAATGAAGACATTAATTATGTCTAACAATATCTGATGGTTCTTGTTAAAAACCTTTTTAAAATTGTGAAAAAATGTTTGGAAATACTGTTTTTACCCAAGCTTGAAAATCTAGTTTTTATTGTAGAAAACATTGATTTGAACCTTTAGTAAAACATTCTGATACAGAAGTCTTGGGTTGATTGTGTAATTTCTAGTGTGGAAAGGTCATGAACAGATACTATGAAATGTCTATAAGGCTTTAGGGCTGGTGTTAACATACCAGTATTAAGGATACATACCAGTATTAAACATTATGTGAGTTAAATATATTTCTCCAACTTAATAAATCAGTTGATTTGCTGGTTTGTTAGTAATATACTTCATTAGGATAGACTCCTGCAACCAGTTATAAAAAGAGTTGCTCAACACTGCCTGTTGATTGATATTTCCTATTTGTTTCATTTTGATACTCTTTCTTTAAAACAGTCTTCATATCTTACACATTTGATGGACATTCAGATTTTTCATTTCCGTGTTAATAATCTAAATATTCAGTCCTCAACAGTACAGTTGTAATGTCACAATATAATATAAAAAGTCTCCAACAATGCCTACAGCAACAAATTTGCTATCTTAAATATCAAATATTTAGACTCTGATGTACATGTCATTGAATAAACATGAGTCCGTCACTAAATTCCCCCTGATTTCCTGAATTTTTGGAGATTGGGGATTGGTTGATGCTAATATGTGACATAGATATTATCAACTGATCTTATCTACTGCTGCACAGTCAAGAAAATCAACCACTGCCCCCATTTGCCCTGCCATCATCCACCTATTCCTAACTTCATCAGTTTGTAGCTGTGTTTAGCAACAAAAAAACAAAAAAAAAGATATTAGCCGAAATCAGAATTGGCAGGTCAGGCTTCTTAAAGATCGCTGATAGGCCAAAAAACAACTGTGCACCCCTAGTGTAAAGTAATAGTTGTGTATAATAATATATTTGCCTAAAATGTCAATTTTCTTCTCCTTTCAGGGATGAAATGACTTTAACCAGAAAGATTGGCTCTCTGCGCTATTTCTACAGTGCTTCATATTTTTTCTCTGCCATATTGGTAATCATATCGGCCATCGTCCCATATGCACTCAGTAACGGTATCATACTGCGGCGGATTTTCACCACGGCGTCATACTGCGTTGTGCTACGTATGACGCTCACCCGCCAACTGCCAGGCTCCATCCAGATGTGGTACGACACATTGGCATTGGTCCAAAAGATCGAGGTAAGCAGAATCAGTTTTGTTTAGGTTTTTTTAAGCACACTGATCTATTTCTGAGAATTTATGTAACTTTTAGGGATACCTTTGTTTCAAATAATGTAATTTGATTTTCAGATATTAATGTGTCTCACGCAAGAAAGGACTGCATTCCATCTGAATCTTATGACTAATAAAGCTGGTGTTAAATGGAAGTGATTGTTGCTTTAATTTTAAAAATTGTATGTAAAATCTCAATTTTGCTCTTGGCATCTGAAGCCTTACAGAACATCATAATGAAGGAAACACTGGCATTGTCCATTCTGAATGCGTGTGTGTGTGTGTTTCGCTTCCAGGATTTTTTGCTTAAGGAAGAATACAAAGTAATGGATTACAGCTTGACCACGATCGGATTGGAGCTGATCAATGTCTCTGCATCCTGGGATGAGGTTCGTTTGCAAACTCAGTGCACTTGGACAATCCTAGAGCATGATATATCTAATTCCAGTATAAAGGTAAACTTTGTCCTCATTTAGGCATTAGTCCATGTTAAACCCTGATCTGTAAGCAGATATTTAATTTAGGGTTCGATCACTTAAATCTGGCTGGTGTGAAAGCAGTCCAAGTTCATATGAATGAACCCATATCTTTCTTTTTGCAGTTGGGTTGTTGCAGTAATTCTGAATCAATGTTTGGCTATTCTAAAGCTGAGATTCTGAAATTTGAAAGGACAGTTTTAAATATGATGACACATTTAGACAAAATTTTTGTTCAAATTTAGTGTTGAACTAACTTTTCATTATTTAATGAATGAATGAATTCAGCTTTTAGACCAGAATGACTGCATTGTAACTTGTGTTGGGTACAGGCACTGGTGCTTCTTATGATACTTTGACATTCACAACTGGACACCTGAGAATCCAACTCTTAGTCCTGTTTAATAAGGCCTGCATACCTCTTCTTATTAACAACCCAGGCCTTCATAATTCATTCCCTCTTAAGCTCTAGTTAAGCTCTAAACCCTGTAAAGGTAATGTGATGGTACAGAACTTGGTTTTGCACAATGACCACACGTCAGTCACATGCTGCCGCAAGTTGTTTTCATTTATATGGATTGACAATACAACTCACCAGAGGTTTAATCCTTCATTTATTAAACACATTGTATGTATGATGTAAAACCTAAAGATGAATCATCTATGGAGAAATAATAATTTTACCAGATGATGCCATGTTTTTTCATCTGATTTTTATATTAGTAATAACAGGACAGTGTATGAAATGTGTTGAGACAAAAAATTATACTTTCTAACTTGCCGTATGTCAGCATGAAATCCAGCAATGGTCTTTTTAGTGGGAATATTTTGTTGTTCCTGTTCCTCTATCATTATGCCAAGCTCTGGCAATACGGCACCGAGGAAAGTCAACTCCTTAATCCACAATGAGTTACAGGTGTAAAAGTTCATTCCTCACTGTCACCAGGAGAGGATTGTAATTTCTTATCTATAGTCAAAGACTGTAAAACTAGTCTAACAGGTGTGATTCATTGTCTACCCAATACCGTGAGAAAACAGACGCCTGGCAATCCCTTACTTTGCATAGTTAATTAACCAGGTGGTGTCACCCCTTTGCTGGGAACACTCTAGTTCTCCCTCTGAGACTTGGTGTTCATTACCCAATTCCCAAATTCTGTTTTTACTCTTCCTGGAATGTGTGGTTTCGCTCACAAATGCCAGTGGAGCTGTTCTTTCTTTCTTTCTTTTTTTTTTTTTTTTTACAGCTGACAGCTTGTACGTCAGCTCATTAGAATGAGAATTTCAGGAACAAACTACAATTAATACTGGCATTACTAGAGCTTAGGCCCATAAAACGTCATGGGGGGTCAATGAATAACCTAGTCAGTCATGCAGGGTTCCCCTTTTCTTGCATAGCTCTGCGTCATCCTTTAATCTGTTCAGAGACAGTGACAGATGGGTTGAAAAAGGCTATTGTGGGTCTTTGTGAGTCTTCTCCTATTCTTGTGCTTCTTTTCCTCACATGCAGAGGCATTTACTCTGGTGTCATTGTCTGAAAGCACAAGATGAGGTAAAAGTATCTGAAAACTATTCTGCTTGCAGGAAAACAGCCTAAATTTTTTGAATTTTCTTTCAGCAATCCCATTTCCCCGTAAACAAATAATATTCCATTCCTGATCATGTTTATTTAGTTTGCCAGATATGTCATGGTGATGGTGAAATGGTCTTAACTTCCTTATCCTACTTCTCTCCCTTTACTGGTCACTTATCTAATTTAGATATTATTTGGACTTTTGAGGGATTGATATGGTACTCCTGCTAATCATAACAAGTTTTGGACAATAGTTTGATATTGTGGTATTGGACTAAAAAATTTATTGCAAATCATTCATCCTTCAGCTTCCACTTCAAATCCCCCCCAAAATACATAAACATTATGTGGTTGTAATATGGAAAAAGTATGAAAATCCTCAAGAGATATGAATACTTTTTCAAGGCAATGCAAAAAAAAACAAAAAAAAAAAAACCTGAAAATAGTTCAACCCAAACCTGCCAAGTTATGCTAATGTATATGTAGTACGATATGGTAAGCTCTTACAAGTCAACGGTGGACATTTAATAACAGAATTTTCGTGGACTGGTATCTTCATAGTACTAAGGGCTGTAAATACCTGTGTGTTTTCGTCAAACTTTACTCAAACTCTAAATTCTCTTGCAGGATATTGTTGAGCTCTTTGAGAAGATCAAGCGGGAGAACAAAGCAAATGGACACATGACCGGTGACGATGGACTATTCTTCACTAACTTATACATCACACCTGTCCTCAAAAACGTCAACCTACGCTTAGAGGAAGGCATGATGCTCGGAGTGGCTGGATCTACTGGGTCTGGAAAGGTATTTCAAACAGTGAAAGCAGTGCCTATGCTAGTTATATTAAAAATATGTAATGTGAGTACTGTAAGTGAAATGCTTAGACTGTAAAACGCAGCAGGACGCGACCAAACCCTTAAAATTTTAACCCAGGTTAAAATTTTAACCCAAAAAATTTTAACCTAGGTTAAAATGTTGTACAAGTTAGTCTTCCCTGTTTTATTCAGAGTTCCCTCCTCATGATGATCCTGGGAGAGCTGGTACCATCAGAGGGAAAAATTAGACACAGCGGTCGGGTTTCGTATTCACCACAGACTTCTTGGATAATGCCAGGGACCATTCGTGACAACATCCTTTTCGGCTTGACTTATGATGAATTTCGCTACACTTCCATCATTAAGGCCTGCCAGCTGGAAGAGGTATGCTCACTTCTACCTATAGCTCATCCGTTCTTTCTTCTTTCGTGGATCTCTAACAAATAAAAAAATAAAAATTCACCCCATGAAGGATAACTTGTTTCATACCAAGAAACATGAGAAGCAAGCCTTCCAATTGAAGAGATAATATATTTAAGAACAAGCAAAACGCACAATGATTATAATTTACTAAGAGTGATGGAAAACAAAATATTTTATTGCTCTTAGTTTAGCTCAAATCTCAGCTGCTTTGTTTCTTCACTAAATTGAAATGTCAACAGTTGCTCCTTTGGACCATTGCAAGGGCATTAGTGATTCTGTTTTATTCCAGGTCTAACTTTTCCAGGTTCCCTTTGTCTACTTTTCCAACTCACCAAAACAAACAGACACCCAAACGGTCATGTTTTCATTGACTTCCATTCATTTTCTGCAGCATAACCATTACTTGACCTCTAACGCTAACATCACAGACCTAACCCTAACCCTAAACCTACCCATCACATTCCTAACCACTAAACCGAAAACTGCATTTTCCCTCAAGGGGACCAAGGAAACGTCCCCACAAAAAGCAATGGTCCCCACAACCCTACATTCTAGACAGAGAAAGGTTCCCACAAGGATATAAAAACCTGGTTTATACATGCAAACACACACTTGTAATTCTATACAAACTGAGGACTTTGTATTGACTTCCATTTATTCAATTGCATACATTAACCCATACATTTTCCCCAACTCTACCCCTAACCTGAACCAAAACTTCAACCACAATACCTTTCAACCTAACTTAGTAGAAACGTAGTAGAAATGCAAAATATGGGAGGACTGCATCACTTTTCACAAAAGCTCTTCCTTTGCTGGTAAGTATTGTGAAAGTGGTTCTCTATATGCGGTATCTACAATTACCTACTGACAGACACATATGTATTTGCACATTTTGTTTCCTACACAGCAACACAGACACTCACACTCATGAGTTTCAGTGTTGAGTGATGGACACTCAGCATAATAAAGTCTCTCCTGAATTCCCTGGTTATGTCACTGCTGTGGAAAATGAGCCTCTTTTCACTCAGTCACTGGCAGCATACAGTAAACCAGAAGTACATTTTAAACCTTAGAGGGTTTTGTTGACTTAATTTGTCCTGTTGAATCATTTTGTTATGAACAACAAACACTTACTGAAAATTTCAGTAGTAGTTGTGAAATTTATATTCAATATTTTTCCCACAACTGTTGCTGTGGGTCACGCCACTGAACTATAAACTCACTGCTTTATCCCTTGTAGAACAGACATTGCCTCGGTCATTTGAACAAAAACACATTATATTGCCACAGCAAACAGAGCCAGCATCCAGCGCCAGCGAGCCTTGTTTAGAGGCGTCTGTTTTGTTTTTCAGGAAGTACGGACGCAAGAGTGACGTTGACGTCAGCTTTTTTTTCCCAATTCTTTACATTTCTGTTGTATAGACATGAAGGGAAATGTTTGAGTGTGTGTAATATAAAGAATAACAAATTAGATATGTTTCAGATTTTAAAGCTTGTCTCTAAAATTGATTCATGAGCCATTAAATTTAAACCTGTGCATTTGAAAGAATGGTGCTTTTTCTGTATTGTTTGCTATTGGTCCTCTTTAATGACACTCTGACCAGTGTATTTCTGCTTCAGAACAATTTAATAAGCTACAGTTAAACAAATGCATGCATTTGTTGGTGTGGAATCTTCTAGCACAGAGGTGTCCAACATTAGTCCTCAGGCGGTTAGTGTTCATAAGAAGCTAAATCAGACAGTTAAAAAAGATGCCGTGGTTTCTCATAATTGACTCTTATACCAGAAGATACAATGAAAAAAAGAAGAGGGGCAGAAATTGAAACTTGAAGAATTGCACAGGACAGAGGTTCTTAAATGGACTTAAGGTTTGGTGTATGAACACAGAAACTTCAGTCCTGCAGGTATGAACGAATGTAATAGAATGTTAGAATACTGTGGTTGACAGTGTCAATCACAGCCTTAAAGTTCTGAAGTCTCCAAAATCTCATTCCTGTTTAAAATGTAAATTAGTTGGATAAAAACTGTTTCATCCAGTGTTTTTAAAAGAAATGGAAATTTTGAGATGAATCTAAAATTTGAGTACACTAAGGGGTCAATGCTGGGGTTTTTTCACTCGTGGGTTTACCACAGCACACCTGAAAACATTGGGACCACTCCATAGGTAATAACTGAGCACCCAGTTGAAGAAAACATCTGTTTTAAAACTGTTGGAATCAAAAGGGAAACAGAAAGGTTTCCTTTTAGTAAATACATTGTTTAAAAATGAAAGTGAAATGGATTCTGCTCTTTTGCATAATGGAACAGAATAACAAAAATGAAGGACTACTTTCATGCCAGTGTATGCCAGCACAGGTTTTAGAATAGATAAAGCAGGCTGACAATAACGTTCTGAAATGAACCCTGCCTACACCCATTTTGAAAATATGTTAATTCTACTCAAAATATCTACTTCTTGCCAGAAAACCAACCAGTTTAGGTGAATTCTGAAATTAAGAGTGGTCAAATATTCATCCAGATTTATGTCAGAAGTGTATAATTGGCTACAGTAAGAATTCAGTCCAGGTTCAACTTGCTTAGGAAAATTTTACCAACTGTTATTTGCAGTGTGTATTCAGTCACATTTGTGTATGTAATGGTGACTCTGTATGGAAGAAAATGTTTGACTGATTGTATTAGTCAATGCTAAGTGGCTTAGCAAAGAGTCTGTAACACGATTTAGCAAGTTCTTAAGCAGTCATTGTCCAAAAAATAGATTAAAACCACTTTTTAAGACAATAAAAAAACCTAAGTGTCTTAAATTTAGAAGGAGTTTCACTGAGTGACTTAGTTTTGTCTTGCTATGCTGACTTATTGTACAAGGTGTTAACATATTAACTTGATTCCCTATGCTCCAATTTGGACAGCGAAAGGTACTGTAAAGAAGGTAGGATGTTTCAATGGTATAAACTTCATCATGTCAGTTTGTCTCTTTGGTTTCCATTTATTGTCACTGGTTAGCTTGTCCATTTATCAAGCCCATGTGCGTCTCTGACCCGTGGTTTGTGTTCTGATGTGGCATTCTTAATAATTTGATGATGAGGTAGAGAAAGCTGATTAAGACGTTCAATTTGTGATCTGTTCATCTCTTGATACAAAATGACTCACATTTCTGCATGTTCCATGTCAGAAAGAGAGCGGAAGATCAGAAGTGTAAAGCAGTACCACTTTGTTGTGTTCAACTTTCCTTTCATCTGCTGAAAGTTTTGCTCTCTCTTGCTGAATTATCTCTATACATGTCTCTTCATAACAGTGTTTTCCTTAAACGAGCGTCTGAAATAAGCCTGGCCATTGCTTTCATATGCCTGATTCTCATCTCTCTTCAGTGCTCCAGCTGAGATTTGTCCCATGCATGCTAAGATGTTAGCATGCAGAATGAAGAGCTGTAAAGGACGACGTTGGGTTTCTTGTTTCTGATTATAGTCAGCCTATCTATGGTTGTAATTAGGCAAATGCAGTGGAGGAAGTGAAAAAGATCTAGCAAAGTTTTTAAGACATTTTATTGTTGGCCAAGATCCATAGCACTATTCGATCATTAATGATTCATGACATAATGTCACAACCAAACATTAGCAATAAGACAACTTTAGATCCAATTGTTTAAAATTGTTATTTCAATCAGAGAAATAACAATAACTGATTCTTGACTGTCCCTCTGGATGAGGCAAAGTAGAACAACAGGCTAGTTTTTACCAAAACAATACCTAAATGGTATTAAGTTTACATCATTTATATCTAGTCGTATTTAAATGGTCTGATTCCAATTATCACCATCTTGGCTGAAGTTTTATTCATTCTTCATTTTTTGAACTTCAGTCTTTGTATGGTTAATATTCTGTGTAGCTCTCACTTATATTTCACATAAATGTTTGCTAAGTCAACTCTTTTGTTCTGCCGTGTTGGTTTCCATTTGTGAGGACTACAATTAACCCCATCTCAGTAGCCCCCACTCTTAAAGTCCCATAATCTTTCACTTTGTCTGGGTTTAGTTCCTTGGAACCATTTAGCTGATGTTTGGCAGCACGGAAAAGCATATTGATATCATTCCAAGTTTACGCATTTATCTTTTTATGTCAACTCTAACGAGGTGAATCAGGAGATAAGAGTCATTCCTGTTGTTAGTAACAGCTCCTTTTCTATTCATTGTGTTTTATCGTTTTTCAAGCTGCATTTACTACACAGAAGTCTGACCCAGTGACCCCTTTGTTTCTGTCTGAAGGATTTTGACTTGCTGCCTGAGAAAGACAAGACTCCCATTGCTGAGGGAGGAGTTACCCTCAGTGGGGGTCAGAGAGCAAGGATCTGCCTCGCCAGGTACTCCCACACTAATCGGTCACCATGGTTCACCGCTCATAACATATTGCAATGATCTTTTTCATTATTAAAGAACAATTGTGTGAGTCACAAATAAGTGTTTTAAGCAATAAACAGTGGTCTGAAGTAAAAACTTCCACCCATTCATCCATCTCCCACTCCCTCCTTCCCTTACTCGTGAACAAGATCCCAAGATACTTGAACTCCTCCACTTGAGGCAGGACATCCCCCTCGACCCAGAGAAGGCACTTTACCCTTTTCCAGCTCAAGACCATGAACTCGGACTTGGAGGCACTGATCCTCATCCCGGCTGCTTCACACTCGGCTGTGAACCACTCCAGCGAGAGCTGCAGATCACGTCCTGTTAAAGCCAACAGGACCACATCATCTGCAAAAAGCAGAGATGCAATCCTAAGGCCATCAAAATGGATCCCCTCAACACCTTGGCTGCACCTACAAATTCTGTCCATAAAAGTAATGAACAGAATCCGCCAGTCATGACTGGTGGAGTCCAACCCTCACCGGAAACGAGCCCGACTTATTGCCGGCAATATGGACCAAACTCTGACACCGGTCATACAGGGACCTGATAGCCCGTATCAAAGGGCCCGGTATCCCATACTCCCACAGGGCACCCCGAGGAACACGGTCCAACACCTTAAGAAACTCCGGGTGAATCTCATCCACCCCTGGGGCCCTGGCACCGAGGAGCTTTTGAACCACCTTGGCGACCTTGTCCTCAGAAATTGGAGAGCCCGACCCAGAGTTCTCAGGCTCAGCTTCCTCAGTGGAAGGCATGTCGGTGGGATTGAGGAGGTCTTCAAAGTATTCTGCTCACAATGTCCTGAGTCGAGGTCAGCAGCACACCACCCCACTGTAAATAGTATTGGTGCTGCACCGCCTCCCCCTCCTTAGACGACAGATGGTGGACCAGAATCTCCTCGAAGCCATGTGGAAGTCTTTCTCTATGGCCTCTCCTAACTCCTCCCATGCCCGAGTTTTTGCCTCAGCAACCACCCGAGCCGCACACTGCTTTGCCTGCCGGTACTCATCAGCTGCTTCCAGAGTCCCACAGGCCAAAAAGGCTCAATAGGACTCCTTTTTCAGCCTGACAGCATCTCTCACCGAAGGTGTCTGCCAACGGGTTTGAGGGTTGCTGCTATGACAGGCACTGACAACCTTGCGACCACAATGGACCACCTCCATTGTCAAGCCGCCTTGACAATTTAACAACAGAACACCACTTGAGTTCAGATCGGGGGGAGCTTTCCTCCCAACCACGCCCCTCCAGGTCTCACTGGTATTACCGACGTGAGCATTGAAGTTCCCCAGCAGAAAGAGGGAGTCCCCAGGAGGGGCACTCTCCAGTGCCCCCTCTAAGGACTCCAAAAAGGGTGGGTAGGCTGAACTGTCGTTCGGCCCATAAGCACAAACAACAGTCAGAACCCGTCCCCCCACCCGTAGGCAGAGGGAGGCTACCCTCTCGTTCACTGGGGTAAACCCCAATGTACAGGCGCCGAGATGGGGAGCAACAAGTATGCCCACCCCTGCTCGACGCCTCTCACCGTGGGCAACTCCAGAGTGGAAGTACATCCAGCCCTCTCAAGGAGACTGGTTCCAGAACCAGAGACTGAATATTTCTAGCAGGAACCTCTCAACCTCACACACCAGCTCCGGCTCCTTCCCCACCAGAGAGGTGACATTCCACATCCCAAGAGCCAGTTTCTGTAACCGAGGATCGGACCGCTAGGACCCCCCTCCCTCGGCCACCACCCATCACACATTGGAAGAGGGACCCATGTTTCCTCTTCGGGCTGAGCCCGGCCGGGCTCCATGTGTAAAAGCCCGGCCACCAGGCGCTCGCCAACGTGCCCCACCTCCAGGCCTGGCTCCAGAGTGGGGCCCTGGTGACCTGCGTCCGGGCGAGACGATGTATAATGTGAAAGAATAGAATAATGTGAAATGAATATTGATGATTTAATGAAGAAATAAGGCACAAAAATCCCAAATAGTCCAAAACCAAGGCAGCACTGTTGAGCGAAAACCAGGGCTCAACACAGGTAGCAACAAGGTGAAGGAATGGACTGAGACACACATCCGAAATGGACCCGACAAGGAACACAGGGATTAAATACACAGAGGGTAATCACGGAGAGAGACACACCTGGGAGTAATCAAGGGGAGACAGGACAACACGGAGACTGAGAAAACTCAAAATAACACAGAGAAAAACTCAAATCATGACATACGCTGATATTTCAATGCATTATTTATGTGGTTATTGATTCCTGGATAGAGCTTGAATATTTATTTCTGGCATTCCTGAAAGTGTTTGCTTTTCTCAGCAGTGCCATAGAAACATTGCTTCCTTTTAGCACTCTGTAGATAGGTGGCCTCTCCCCACACTACCCCAATTACTTTTTTCCCCTCCTTTCCAATGTTTACTTTCTGTAGAACTTTACTGTCTTCAGACTTTGCAACAGCTTTTTCTTGTCTTTGTGCTCTCTGATTAGATATGAATATTGTTTTGTTTTGTTTTTTTGTTTGTTTGTTTGTTACTACCGTAGGGCCGTATATAAAGATGCAGACCTGTACCTGCTCGATGCACCTTTCACCCACCTGGACATTGCAACAGAGAAAGAGATCTTTGACAAGTAAGGATCCCAACAGAGAGTCTTTCATGTAGGAGTGGTGGGGGTTGGGAGAGCTGTAGAAAGTTCAAGGTCAAGGCTCTCCCTGTTTCTCAGATGCTTGTTGACTGTGGGGAAAGTTTCTCTGGTAACACTGTACTCTTCTGAGAAAGTGGAGCTTTTTTCCTTTTTTACATCATGGAAAAAGAATTAGAATGATTATGCCAAAATACCATCTATTGCTTGTTGTTTTGTGGCAAAAATGTAGAAGGTACTTCTGAGTGCAACGCTGCTAAAAATGTTGTTAAAGGCCTAATGGAGAAGCGGAGTGTTGAAAAGAGCAGAAACTTCTTAAAGAGACAGGAGTCCACGTTTAAAGGCATTAAATTGCAAAGTCAAATTTCTTTTCAGCCATGTTTGATACATACAGTGTTTTATTTGACAACTAAAGTTATCATAATTATTTCTTTTCTTTTATTATAATGTAAAATGATACTGCCTGGCTGGAAAACACATACTGCCCCTTTAACGACACATTATAAACAACTTTGATAAAAATTTATAAGTGACTTTTAAAATTTCAGTGTGGAAGAAAAACTAAAGCTCCTTTAAAAACAAAAAAACTTTTCTTCCAGCTTCTTTCTTTCTTTTTCTTCTGACAGTTTTAGTTATCCGAGGACTTTGGTAAATTGTAGCCATATTCTTCTTCAGTAATCATTCATCGTTCTCATACAGCAGCTGACAGTTGGGCTTTAGTGTTCCCGTGTTGCTGCTGATTTTCCATTTCTTTCATTGTGCATTTCCTATTTTTGGAACATTGTTTCTCTTCTTTAGTTCTGACACTTTGAAGACCAAAACATTCCTATCTTGTTAGCATATTACCTTTTTCAAGGAGTCTTGGACTCTTTTCCATTGTTTCAGCAGACAGCTCTCTCCTGTTGGGGTTTTCTTTGTGCAACTGATTACTAAGTTCTGCAAAGGCCTCTTATTTATGATTTGAATGAATTCCCTTATGTTTTTCAATTATGTTTACATTTATAATTTGCAGATGTGTCTGCAAACTGATGGCCTCCAAGACTCGTGTTGTGGTCACCAGCAAGTTGGAGCACCTGAAGCGGGCGGATCGAATCCTTCTGTTGCACAATGGAGACTGCTACTTTTACGGGACCTTCTCAGAGCTTCAAGCACAGCGGCCAGACTTCAGCTCCCTGCTGCTTGGTCTCGAAGCTTATGACAACATCAACGCGGAACGGCGTGGCTCCATTCTCACGGAAACTCTTCGCAGAGTCTCTGTGGATGAAACAGCAAATTTCAGAGGCCCGGACTCCAATCATCAGTCCTTCCGCCACGCACCGTCTCACAGCCACGCCATGGGCGATGGCTGTCCCGAAAAACGCAAGCCTTCGCTCATCCTCAACCCTCTCGTAGCTGCCCGCAAGTTTTCATTCATCGGAAACTCCCAGCAGACGAATAATTTCCAGTCCACATCCATGGACGATGGGGCGCATGAACTTTCAGAGAGAAGATTCTCTGTGGTGCCTGAGGACGATCAGGTCGAGGAAGTGCTTCCGCGGAGTAATCTGTATCACCACGGGCTGCAGCACCTCAACGGCAGGCGCCAGTCTGTTCTGGCGTTCATCACCAACGCTCAGGGTCAGGAGCGCAGGGAGCAGATGCAGTCGTCCTTCAGAAAAAAGTTGTCCATCACCCCACAGTGCAATCTGGCATCCGAGCTGGACATCTACGCTCGGCGTCTGTCCAAGGACAGCGTGTTTGACATAAGTGAGGAAGTGGATGAAGAAGACATGCAGGTAAGATTTGGCAACATGTTTGCCAAGAAGGTCCTGGGTTGATTCCCGGGTCGGGTTTTTTTTCTCCTTGGAGTTTGAATGTTCTCCCTATGCATGTTTGGGTTCTCTCCTGGTACTCCGGCTTCCTCCCACAGTCCAAAAATATGACTGTCGGTTAATTGGTCTTTCTAAATTCTCTCTAGGTGTGAATGTGTGTGTGAGTTGCCCTGCGACAGACTGACAACCTGTCCAGGGTGACCCCACCTCTTGCCTGGAACAAAAGTTAGCTGGAGAGGCACCAGCTGACCCCACTAGGAACAAGGGTGTAAGAAAATAGATGGATGGATTTGGCGCTACATCACGTGTCAAACTCAAGGCCCAAACTCAAGAAATAGAATATTTAACATAACAGTTGTGTTTTTATTTTATCAATCAGAAATGTTATTTGTATCGGGCCAAATTAGATAAAGGTCAAAACATGTTTAATATTACTTAATTTCTTGACATTCTCTCCAAATGCAGAATCAGCTGTTTATTAATAGGTAGTTTTATCAACACATTCTGCCACAAATGGCCCTTTAAAGACATTCTTGATCACGATGTGGCCCAAAATGAAAATGAGCTTGACATAGCTGTTCTAAATCATAAACATTTGGTTATTATTAGCCTATTATTGAACTGATCTTTGTGAACTCACATGCTTACAGCTACCATTAGTGTAGAAAAGAAAAACACTCCTAAACACAGCAACACTTGTTTAGGAGTGTTTTATCAGACCACTAAATCTGCTCATTTTATATTTCTTTTAAAAGATTCCAAATTTTTCTTTCACATATTAAAGATAGTTTCACATTTCACATCAAACGTGTCCCCTTTTGGCTGTGCTGTGGTGGCACAGGGGTTAAGCACAACCGGGAATTGCAGGTTTGATTCCCGGCCTGGTGACCTTTGGCACATGTCTTTCCCCCACTTTCCTGTCAATTCACTATCAAATAAAGGCCACTAGAGCCAATAAAACATAAAAAATATGTCCTCCCCCCCCCCCCCTTTTTTTACAAAGTTTAAATTTAAACCGTTTAATAACGTCCTTCAGTGCTGAACCCTCCTTACCTGTTTTCTTTGCTTTGTCGTCTTTTTTTCACAACAAAAGATACATTCATATTTGGCATTTATGCAAAAATGATGGTTTCACTTTTTCACAGGAATGCTTTGCAGATGAACATGAGAAGATATTTGAAACAACCTCATGGAGTACTTATCTACGCTACATTTCCACCAATAGGAGTTTAATCTATGTCCTAATTTTCATTGTGATTGTCTTTGCCATTGAGGTAAAATTCTGTTTATTTTTTTATTTAAAATTGTTTTTGAACTTTGAAATTTTAATTAACAGTAAATTCCTCTTTTTTTCCCCAATTATCAGGTTGCTGGTTGTGTCATTGGCATTTTTCTCATTACTGAGTGAGTGCTGTGTTACGTTCCTGTATATACTAACCCTAACCCTAACCCTTCCATTTTACCATTTCATGTGGTAAAATGGAATACAAAAATATAAAATATGTTTATTTTGTACAAAAACAGAATTTTTGTTTGAAATTAGGGCTAAATAGTCAGAAGAGATTTCCAATCTGCGAAGGAGCTTTGATGAAAAGTGAGTCCATGTTTTAATCTTTGTCTTTTGCTTCATTCAACCAGTGAGATATGGAGGGATGGTGCCAACCCAAATTCACCAAACTACATCGATGAGCAGCACCCTAATGCGTCATCGCCTCCTGTCCACCTCGCCGTCATAGTCACACCAACCAGCGCCTACTACATCATCTACATATTCTTTGCTCACTCAGACAGCATATTGGCCCTTGGAGTCTTCAGGGGTCTTCCTTTAGTCCACACGTTGCTCACCGTGTCTAAAAGACTTCACGAACAGATGCTAAGCTCTGTGCTACGGGCCCCCATGTCTGTGCTTAACACCATGAAAACAGGTGCTCTGCTTTTTGGTACCGCTTCCCTTTTTGATTTAAAAGTTAGCAGTGAAAGTGTGGTGGTATCACTGCGCAGAAGATTTATTTCCCTTCTTTTTCTTTTTTGTTTTTCTCTTTCTAGGCCGGATAATGAACAGGTTCACGAAGGACATGGCCGTCATTGATGACATGCTGCCTCTAGTGCTGTTTGACCTCATACAGGTATTTAACTACACAACAAATAAAGTTGGTGTCGTTGCAGGCAGAATGTTACCTTTGTTGTACCGCCACGTTTTCCCCTGATTCACATTATTGATACCTCTGTAATATCAACAAACAATCCCAATCTCTTGCCATCTAAAACAGAAGACTCTTCTTTGCATTTTCTTTTGTTTTTTTGAGGGTGGGAAGGTTGTTTTAAAAGTTTGCTAAAAATCTTGTTTGTTCTCTCCCTGGCTTAACACACCTTGGTCTATTGATGGCTCATTAGAGGCCTAAGAAGAACACTGACATGCTGAAAACCATGGAGGGAACTAAAATATGCAGGAGGCTGGCCCTCGAGGACCGACTTTGGGCATCCTTGTTCTAGATGATTTCAGAAACTTCTGGCTCGTTCTTTGTATGAGAAAACATTGCGGTACTGAACTAAAACAGCCATATTACTTTATTGGGAGATAACGACTGGTAACAGAGGAAGATAATGATTTCAGGCAATCTTTAAACTCCTCCAGTGTGACTGCACTGGTGGTGAAACACAAATTACTGTGTAGTTGCCAAGGAGGTTGGCACATGGTGTAAAAAGGACTAGGAAGACATTACATTTTCACTACTTTGTTTCAAATAGCTTTTAAAATGAAATAATTTGCTTTTTTGTATTATTTATGTAATCTTTGATATTAAAAGTCCTTTGATTATGTTAAACATTTAGGTCTGACAAGGGGGGAAAGTACTTATTGTTAACACTGGATAATGATGTTGGTTCTCAACCTCTCAGGATTGTTAGCACTAAGCCACTCTCTGTTTTTTGTCAACTTAACCATTCCTTCTGCATTCTAGCTTTACATTGTGTACAACCTCCATATCCACCTATTTAAATATTCATGGTTTCACGATACAAAAATGTTTCTTTATAAGGGATCACTGATAACTCAAGCTGAAAGGTCTGCAAAACATTTGTTAATAACTAGCTGTGAGGATAAATGATCTCTGCTTACTCGCATTCTGAAATAAAAGTGTTTATGTTGTATTACATATTGTGTTGCTACAGTTGTTCAATTGATTAAAGCTTTATTTGTGTTCTTTGATGTATGTAATTTGAAAGCATCTGTCAAATTTTTATTTATGGTTAATAGTTTTTTAAAAAAAACAACAATAAAAATAATAACTTCACTATTTCCTTTTTATCTTCTTACTTTTCCTCACACTAGTTAACTTTACTTGTCATTGGGTGCATCTTCACGGTGTCCATCATGAGACCATACATCTTTATATCCGCAATCCCGCTGGCTGTTATCTTTGTGGTCATCAGGAAGTACTTCTTGCGAACAGGACAACAACTCAAACAGCTAGAGGCTGAAGGTAAGAAAAGAAGACTTAATACATTCATCCATAATGGTTGTGGTTGCAGGTGAAGTCCTAAGAAGATGACTTGAAATTCAAAAAACATGTTGTACTAGCCTTAGGACGAAGGACAGCACACCAGCCAACATGTTTTCTGATTCCTCCTTATAGCATATTTTGAGGATGTACTCCACTTTTCTTGTCTGAAAAAAAAAGACATCTGGGTTTCTGTCTCAGCGTTGTTATAGATTCAAGCCAAGAAGTAAAATTCAAGATGATCAATGCCTTCTATACGTTCCTGTAGGACAGCTCATACAACTGGTCTATGATCAATGTCCAGCTTAAATCATGGCTTGAAATCTGGGTTGAAGTCAACAGAGGACCAAAGTAATTTCTTAAGATTTTAAGAAGGTTGTTGACATTTTTCAGACCAAGGACCAGTGAAAGAATCAGGGGAGGTGACCTAAGTTCTTTCCTGTTCAAGGAGCCTAAAAGTCAAGAATGTTATTTGCAACCATATAGCACACTTTTGTAAGATTAGGTTTCAATGAGTGCCCTAACAAGTGCTTGAAAACCTCTTGCCAAGTATCAAGAAAGGTAACTCAGTCATTGGAGTACTCAAGGTCTTCGAGATATACCCTGCTGTCTGGCCCTTTTCTCAAGACTTTGTTTACAAAACTTTAGCATGTCAATGGAGAACTTGGGTCACAGACTACACCCAGCTACAAGGTATCAAGCTCATTTTTAACAAAATACTCATTGCATGTGAATATTTTTTTATTTTTTTTTTTCTTTGTTGGGTCAACATGATATGTAAGCTGGTTAATAGGTGTAGGTTTGGTGAAAACAATGTCTGGAGACTTCACATCTTGGTTGGGTTCAAAAAGACAGTGGAAGACAAACATGAGTTTCAGAAAATTATCAGCTGTGTCCCCTGGACAGGTGAGACAAACAGTGGGGCACATTAGACAAAATCTCTTGCATATTAGCAGGTTTCTTGATTACTGAATGAAGTAGCAGAATAAAAAGGTGTGTTAAACCTTCATCTCTCAGTTCTAGGCAGTGTATCATTTTCAACCTCACTTGAACAGTAACATTTCATCATATTAGTATGACACACTCTAGTCTTATACAAGTGAGAATAAGGGGTTGCAAAAACATTTATTAACTAGAAAAATTCAGAAGAAATTTAAATTTAAACAGGGCCTGCCAAATTGTGCCCGTCTGTTGGAACTCGGCATTCTGATGCTAAAAATTAGCATCAGTGACAAAGAAAGCTACAATGTACTTAATTGTATGTGGGGAGTCACAAGCTTGTTGAGTTACTCCATTCAGTGTGTTAAAATTAATGTATAAGTTAAACTTAGTCAAAATGCTAATGTTCGTCTAAATGCTACCAGAAAACGCACTCATCTCTTAGCAACAGTCAAATATTGTTATTCTTCAAACTATATAAGATTTCTTCTGCTCTTTTGAAATCCTACTTATCTTGCATTATTTACTATTTAACAAGAATTGTGCAGTTAGTGAATTTGGCGGAGAAGTGAAAATGTTTTTTTTTTTTTGTCATTGGTGGTAAATATGTTATAAAGAAGATTTTCAACACAAAAGTAAAAATCTGATTTATACTTTGACAGATTGTTTCCAGAAAAAAAAAAACACTCATCTCTTAATACTAAATTAATTATTGTTTATAAAACATAAACTCTGTTTATCTTAAAAAGTTGGTAAATTTTGTAAAAGTAAAAATCTGATGTTTACTTCGTGGCACTTGGTTACCAGAAAACATTCTCATGTCTTAGCAACAGATTAACAACAAATTGTTGCTCCCGGCGTTGAGCCCTGGCATCCACTCAGCCATGCTGCCTGGCGCTTTGGACTATTTGTGAATTATTATCATCATTAAACCTTCATCTCTCAGTTCTATCTGGGTTTACCACATTTTCCTCACCACTACACTACATAACAAATATTGTTATTTTTCAAAAACATAAGATTTCTTCTGCTCTTTTGAAATAGGCCTACTATTTATCTTCTGCTACGTAACAATTGTGCAGTTGGTAAATTTTGCAGAAAAGTGAAAATAATTTTTTGGTTGTTTTTTTTTGTCATTGGTGATAAAAATATTTTCAAAAAGAGACATTCACTACAGAAGAAAAATTCTGATTTATACTTTGTGGCAGTTTATCAGGAAAAAAAAAGCTCATTTCTTAACACTAAATTAATAACAAACAATACTATTGTTATAAAACATAAGCTCTTTTGAAATACAACTTATCTGCATAGACCCAAAAAAATTTACAGTTGGTAAATTTTGCAAAAGTAAAAATCTGATATTTGCTTCATGGCACTTGGTTACCAGAAAACATGCTCATCTCTTAGCAACAGATTACAACAAATATTGTTATTGTTCAAAAAACTGCTCTTTGGTATTTTTTATTTTTTTTATTTTAAACTGGAGGGTCTTTAAAAGGCGTGTGAGAACACAAAATTGAACAGGTATAGTGACTCTTCAAAACTGTTCTCTTCATCCCAATCCACATGTTCCACATGGTTTTTACTGTAGTGAAATCTGTTTGGTGAGCCTGACTTTCATCTTGATATGATATACTCAATGGGCAAAGCTCTTAGTCTCTGGGGAAAGGCCCAGAGACTAAGATTTGATTTTAATTAGTCCTACTCCATTAACAAAGACCCTTTCAAGGTCTTCAACTAAAACTGGAATCGCTGATAGGAGCAGGAGGAATGTTCAGAAACTTAACAAACACGCCGATACAATGGTAATGTGCAAAATCAGATTGGAGTTTTGTCCAAAATAAATGTTTGAAGATTGTTTTTTTTTTCTTGTGCCCAAGTGCCTGAACAGTGGGGAATCATAGTAAAACAAGCACTTACAAGCAAAACACTTTTGCCACAACAACCCAATAAACTGCTCTATAGTCTTCCTCTGACAAGCCTGGTTGCACAGCAACATGTCCTCCACAATACACTGCTTTTTTGATCCTTTTCCTTCTTTATGGGTTAGAACATTTTAAGTAATTATGCTGTTTAAGCTGATAGGTTTATGAAGGAAATTGGAAAAAAATAACAGTTTTTTTTAGGTTTGCCCTTAATGTCAAACCCGGATCTAGCAGTTTCCAGACAATGTTTTGTGGCAGTGAAATGAGTCAGACAATTGACGATGATAGAGCTTTGATTAGGGTCCAAGTAGGGAAACTATCAGATGACAATTGTTTTGTTCAGACACACACTTGTGTGAGTTTGTCCAGTCCTCTGGCCCTGTCAACACCTTTCTGCTGGCTGTCATGCCCAGAAACACTTTTATGGGCAAAGTAGTAATCCATCGAGAAGACAAGGCTGGATATTAAGACATTATGCAAAAGTGCAGGCATTCGCTCCAAAGACAGGTTCACTTTCAATTGGCTTGAAAAAGTGGTACATTTCTGACTTAGCCAAAAAATGATATCCCTTTATGCACTACACAGTTCATAGTAGATCTCTAAAAACAATTTTAATGTAAATCTAACAGAGTTAGAGTCAATCTAATTTGGCTAAAAAGACCAAATTAGACTGTAAAAAACTGTTTGAAACAAATTCATGTACATGAGCCATTTAAGTAAGTTTGGATGCTCAAGGATGAGAAAACAGGTCACTGGACCATTGCAGATGCCACTGTGTTTGTTGGACGTCCCAGCTGTGTGCTCAGTTCTGTCATGTTGTGCGTGCTTTAGTGGTGACGGAAAGGTCTTTCCAAAGCGCAATGGGGTCACAGAGATGAGCCGAGCTGGGATTTCCTCCAGCTATATCCTGGTGTTGTTCTTTCTCCTGCTTTATGCAACTTATCAGAGAAAAATGCAGTGGAAACATAAAGTATAAGTCAGATTCAATGAACTACGTTCCTTGGTTTTTACCCATAGCTTAAGGATAGTGTCGTTTTTTCCTATTGTTTCCAGTGGTGTTTTGGTGTCTGTCGAGATCGCCCTTGAAAAACAGACAGAGAGAAGTTCCACACTGTGTAGAAATGAGGCTGCTGGGGCTCAGACTTCATCTGAATGAAGTCTGAGTTTCAGGAGCCTAAAGTGGATTAGTATTCAATCATCTGAACTACTACTTACTTCTACACAGATAATTGATAATTGTATTTTATTAATATGTCAAGCCTTGGGTTGTCTCTTTAAGGACACTGATTCAACGCCTTCAGATAAGGGCATCCCATTGGATCATTTCTGCATGAATGGTTATGTTTCAACTGGTAGCCAGTTATCTAATCCTTACTGATGCAGTTAGTAATTTTTTATTTCTTAAGCAATTGTGTTGGAAGTCCTGATCTGTGGTCATATTAAAGAGGTTGGTCTGTTCAAGAAGGGTCAAATTATGAATCAAGCCAAGAAAACAGTTGAGATTGCTAAAATAACAAGTGGGCTAAGGAACATCCAACGGAGCTGCAAGGAGAGTTGGAAAGCCTCACTTGTGTAGACGAAATGTCTTTGGCAAAAAATGGATTGATTGCGATTTGCGATCTCTAAAACATTTGGTGAAATGAAAGGATTAAAATAACAACAACGCAACTCCTTATAGGCGTAAAATTAAGAGCACATTTATACTTGCTATGCGAAAGGAATTTATGGGCTGAGGAGTAAAAAAATATGGAGGACCAAAAATGATCAATTTCTGCTTTTATTTTTAATTATGTCAGTTTTGGTCCTCCATAATAAAATGTGTACCCTACCCATATAAGCAAACCATTAATCAGGGAGGCTAAATTAAAACAAATCATTAATTTGCCGAGGAGCACGAATATTGGAGTGTGGAGAGGCAGTGAGGAAGATATAAGAACAGAATTACAAATATTTAATTCCACCGTCAAACATCTTTATTAGCAGCAGCAGTGTGAGAGTGTGTGAGAGCTGTTGCTGTAAAACATTTTTCTAATATTTAAAATATTTAAATATTTTTCAAAAAAGACTAAATTGTTAGAGTTGAGCTATTAAATTAGCCCTTATTTTTGTCATGATCAATGAAAATCCAAATAACCTCATTGTCTTTATGTCTCTGTGCTGTCTCTGATTTCATTTTTAAATACTGCAGCCATTTCTGGTAAAGAGCCCATTTCCTTTTGCATCTCTAATTAATGAAGTGTGCCTTCAGATGGAAAATCAACTCGATAGACTGAAAATGTTATAGCTGTATGACTTGTATTCATGCCTTTAAAAACATGTTTTCTCTTCCCTGCAGCTCGTAGCCCCATCTTCTCTCACCTAATCATTTCACTGAAGGGTTTATGGACAATTCGAGCTTTTGGACGTCAGACTTACTTCGAGACGCTTTTCCACAAAGCTCTAAACACCCACACAGCCACCTGGTTCCATTACCTGTCCTCACTGAGATGGTTCCTGTTCCGCTGTGATGTGATCTTTGTGTTGTTCTTTACCGTCGCTGCCTTCATCGCCGTAGGAACCAACAGTGAGTAATAGAAAGACTAAATCCTTCAAGATTTTTGAGTGTTGATTAAGAATGAACTTTAAGAGTCTCATTTCACATTTGATCTTACAGCTGGTTCTAGCGTCCTGTATTGAAAACAACATTACTCCTAAATTTCAGTAAATTGTCACTTATTAAAGCATCTCTGGTATTTAATTCATAAGGGGATACACAGATAAATTCAGCACCAGTTTAAAGCAACTAAAAAGTATTTAATTCAGATTTCAATCCAGCTATATACAATTGAGAATAGTGTAATTCCATCCACTTCTGCATAGTTTAATTCAGTCTGATAACGACTGAATTGCATCAAATGTGCTCAATTTCATGCTGCAGTATCCAGTTGTGTAATCAACAAACTGCACCAATCCCCTTTGATTCAGTCCACCACCCTCAGTACTGGATTGCAGTCAGATGGTTCCAAATTAATGACATCTGGTTGAACTCCATGAGAGAGTTGCAGGCTATTGTTGAATCTAAACAATAAATACTAGGGCTGGTTTGCAATGACTGAGAAGTAATGCTAAGTGTTTCACTCCTTTGACATTTTGCACTTTAGGCCTTTACTAGGTGAAAACAGAAGCTGTCTGCCACTGGAAGTTTCATGCATTAGCTAAAGTAGCATCCCTGCTATACTAGCTGATATAACAGAGATAAAAATATAGCATCTGTTGTGTATGGAACACTAGTTCAAAATAAATGATGTCCAAGCAGACGACTGGAACAAGCACATAGCAACATTTTATTTCCAAACGGGAACTCCACTTCTTCTTCTCTAGTTACAGGTTCTCTAACCAGACTCGCAAAAACCACGAGAGCGCCACCTACAGAGTTTCATTAATTTCTGTGTCTGGAACACCACAGCATCTCTGCTACATCAACTAATATAGCATGTCTGCTATACATGCTATATTAGCTGATGTAGCATCAGAGTTATCGCTCTTCTTTGATAAATAGAGAAAGTTGTATATTGGCTAATATAGCCGAGACGCTTCATTCCGTATTGTAGCATCTCTTGCTAGCTACACCAGCTAACATAGAAGACATGCAGAGTAACAACTCTGCTTTGATATCTGAACTGAAGCACTTTTCTATGATAGTCTAATGCAAAAAAAAAAAAAAAAAAGAAAGTTCTTGGATTCTGACTGAATCATACCAGTTATTTTGGTTCAAATTTGCGATTGTAACGTGTTAAACCTCATTTGCTTCAGTATTGCAGATTGGGTTTATTATATGGTGCATCTACATCCAATCCTAACAAGAGAGCAGGCTGAGCGTAACAAATGAAAATATAGGATCTGAACAGAACAGTTTGTTAGATGAAAACTGCTGGAATGCAAAAGGGAGCACATTAAATGAATGGGAAACGCAAACACAATAAAAAACATGCTGCTGCGTCACTGGTTGTGTTTATGTTAAGTGCAGGTTTAAGGCTAATTTCACAGCTCATTAGCTTCCAATGGAGCCAGTAGGAGTGCTGTAATACATGAGTTCAGCTCTGACATCAGAGAGGTGAGCTTTTATTGCACGGTGCTGATGACATTGTGTGTGTGCGTGTGTATCTGTGTGTGAATTTGGATGCACTTTACAGAGGACAGACCTGGAGAGATTGGCATCATTGTGGCCCTGGCCATGCTCATCCTGGGTACTTTCCAATGGGCTATCATCACCAGTATCAATGTGGACGGCCTGGTAAGCAGTTTTATCTATCAAGACAGAACAAGAAGTCATCCAGTCTGAGGAACATACAACACAAGTCCATGTAACACTGGATGCTACTGAAACATTGTTTGTGTCCAAAAACATATATCTGATTATGAATTTAATCAACTTATTACTTCAAAACTTCAAGGTCAAATGCATGCAAAGATTTAGTAATACATATTTAAGTTTTATTTAATTTTTGATCCATCAACACTACAAAAACCTAGTGGTGGAACTCTATTCCAATTTGGTGCAAAGTGCTACTTTACCTATTCAGCTTTCCAGTGTTTCAGGAAGTTCTGACCATTCAAGGAACTTCTTTAGAAATGTGGACTGAGGGCGTTAGCTTTAGGGATGTCTGCTGCAGCATGTTTAGCATTGAGATGCTATCTAGGCTTGGATACCTTTACTGATAACTCCTTTTAACATAACTTGAACACACTGACAGTCTTGTCCAGCCACCCATCAGACTGGTTTTTGAAGCAGAAAGGAGCCCCCTGTTGGCCAAGAAAAGCAGCTTCAGTGTCCGTGAATGTTGTTAGTGGCTGGTGCTTGTGCAGCAGAACGACACACGTACTGAAAGATGTGAATACAAAGGTTCCGGTTGGAGATTTTTATATGTAAAAAAAAAGTGGAATAATAATTATTGCTTTTGCCACCCAGCAACTTTCACTAAACCTTTGTGATAACTGCAACTCCTTTGATGTCGCTGTGAAGGATTTTTGACCAACTCCTCTCTTTGTGGCTGAGTTGTTTTAATTTGGAAACATTGGAAGGAGTTTGTACATAAATGGACTGTTTAAGGTCATCTCAATCAGATTGGAGTCAAAACTTTGATTAGGACTCCCTAAAAACTTGATGTTTCTTTCAAAGGTAGACTTAATGGAGCTCTTTGGATCAATGTCCTCTTGAACTGAGGTTCTCTGGAGATACTTTTGTAATCATAGCAATGAATGTAATAGAATAAATAAATAAATATCTGGTTTGTTAACATGGGTGACTTTAATAATTTCAAAACAATTCAAATGTTAAAATGTGCATTTCTGCTACTACTACTACTACTACTACTATTATTATTATTATTATTATTATTATTATTATTATATGATAACAGTAGTACTAGTATCAAACAAAATGGTTTACTCTAAAATCATCATTGAGCATGTTCACACAGTGCTGTTAGTTGTGGTGTGTCTCCTCAAATCTGTCCTTCTCTCCTCCCAGATGCGTTCAGTGGATCGAGTGTTCAAATTCATTGACTTGGCTTCAGAAGAGATCTTCCAAGGAAAACCTGGAGGAAAAGGAGGTTCTGATCTCATCATCAATAACCCAAGCGCATACAGCTACTGGCCTAATCGCGGCCAGCTGGACGTCCAGGGTCTCACTGTGAAATACACAGAAGCTGGGCGGGCCGTGCTCAACGACATCTCCTTCGCTGTGGAGGGGGGTCAGAGTGTAAGTCCTGAGTAGTGACTGGAAGTTCACATGTCCAAGAAAAACCTTTTTTTTAAATCAATCAATCAATCAGGTTTATTTGTGTAAGACATCCATTCAGTCTATTTTCCCTCAGCATGTCTTTGAAGCACATTTCTCTGGTGGTTAGAATAATAATTCTATCGACTCTTTTAGATCAGTCCAAGTTATTGATTCTCAATTCTTATTTCAAATTAAAAAGAAAAATATTTTTCCTTATCCACAGTTATGTGGATAAGGAAGATGTTGACTTATGCAGAAATAAATGATAAAAATATATATTTACATTTCTGTATAATATATATTTGACATATATGTTATATATTAAAATATTAAGAGTTAAAAGAGGTGAACTGATAGTGTCAAGAGAGAAGTTGAAAGGCTTATTCCAGTTCTTCTCTTTGAATGTAAATCATTTTTTAGTAATCAAAGAAAAAAATAGAGGGTCTGTAATTTGGCCCCTGTGGTTCATAAATTATGTTCTTCTGGGAATAATTCTAATATTCAAGAGCTTCTCAGAATCAAACCTTGGGAGCATCAGCCCTTCAGTTTAACCCTGATGCCTCCTGATGTCCTTTGACAGGATGTAATATGTCACAAGGTAGAACCTTTTGAGCCCAATGTGTAAAAACAGTTTCTGAACAGAATATTTTTTATGTGATGAAACAAATACTAACTTCGTCTGTTCTGTGTGCAGGTGGGTCTGCTGGGTCGGACTGGTTCTGGGAAGAGTACCCTGCTGTCCGCTCTGCTGCGCCTCGCCTACACCGAAGGGGAAATGTACATTGATGGAGTTTCTTCCAGCTCCATGCCCGTGCAAACATGGAGGAAGGCCTTTGGAGTGGTGCCGCAGGTACACATGTTCAAATTCAGATAGATGAGCTTTGGCTGCTGGTGACTAAATGAATGTTCAAAAAAGACAAAAATTATATTAAAAATGGAAGAAAAAAAAACAATTTTTTCTTAAATTTGACTTTGCTTCATTTGTCTTATTTTATATTTTGCAGGTTTCAAATGCATGTTTTGTGCATGTTATACACTTAAGTTTTGAATGAATGGATGAAATATTTTTGACCTTTCAAACAATAAGCCTGAGATTCAGGCTTTAACGTCTTTAAGGAAAGGCAGGGTAATGGTAGTGGACTAGAGCTGTGTGTGGGGGGCGGGGTGACATCATGTTGTAATTCAATTTACTTGCATTTTTTTTCCCTTACTTTGATCTAAAAGAAAGTCTTTATTCTGACTGGAACCTTCCGGATGAACCTGGACCCGTATGGCCGTTACAGTGATGATGAGCTGTGGCGGGTGGCTGAGGAGGTGAGGATGTTTCCAATCAGCTGCGGTAATAATTTAGTTATCGCTATAAAATGTCATTTTATGTCAAGTGCCAGAAGTTAAAAATACAAAGAACACCAAAGTGTTCTTTTTAAGTGTTTGTGTTCTAGAAGTCAGCCATGTTCCAGCAGCAACCTCCGCCTTGTGCAGTAAAGTAAGCTGTGTGTGATTCCGGCAGGTTGGGTTGAAGTCGGTCATCGAGCAGTTCCCCGATAAGCTGGACTTTGAGCTGAAGGACGGAGGCAGTGTTCTGAGCTACGGCCACAAACAACTGATGTGTCTGGCCCGCTCCATCCTCAGCAAGGCCCGCATCCTGCTGCTGGATGAGCCGTCCTCCTATCTGGACCCCATGTCAGTACCAGCACCAGTCACCAACACTCTGTGGGCTGCTGTTATAACAATTATGATTCATCAATTATACACTGAGTTGTTTATTTTTTTAAAAATGTAATAATTTAGTGTGCTTTTAAATTCTCTGTTATGAAGGTTTTCCTACAGATATGAAGTCTAGTTGAGGTATTTTATTTGTTTCGATATTATATTCATGTCCCACATGCTGCAGTATAAACTGGACTCAGTGTGGATGATCAAGTGATGTCCAATCATGCCGTAGTTCAAAGTAAATTTTTTCAGTTCTAACAAATATTAGATTCATCTGAACTAATATGAGCTATGCTCCAATTAAAGAGCTTGAGTAATTTTATTATGAGGTATTTCTACTCTTACTTGAATAATGTTTCTGAGTTCATTCATTACCTGTTCATCTTGTCCCAAGTGGTCACCAATCTGTCGTAGGGCAACACAGAGACAAACAGGACAAACAACCATGCACACACACACACACAGACACACGCACGCACGCGCACACACACACACACACACACACACACACACACACACACACATACACACACACCTCGGGAAAATTTGGAAAGACCTGTGGGAGGAAGCCGGATACCTGGAGAGGAAAACATGCAAGACCTCGGGCCGGGAATCGAACCCAGGACCTTTTTGCTGCAAGGCAACAGTGCTACCAACTGTGCCACTGTGCAGCCTGGTTCTCTGATTAACGTTATAACCAAAAACTCACCAGACTCAGACACACACCTGAAGTTTTGGTTAAAGTTTCAGAAGTTTTATATTGAAAGAAACTGATCTGGAAAAAAATGCATTTCGCCTGATTTTATTATTTTTTGTTATTGGCATTTTTGTCCGTAAAATGCCAACATTTCCACTTAAGTTTAGATTTTGGTCTGTCTGTAAATATTAAATGATCAGTTATTCAGTACTTTTTACCAAATACTTTTTTACTTGAGTAATTTTTTTGATGGCTACTTTTACTTTTACTTGAGTAAAAATATGTTGAAGTAGTGCTGCGCTACTTGAGTAAAACTTTTGGTTAATCTCCTCTGGTCACATTAAGTGTATGATTATTCAGGACAAACTTCAAGATAAGGCCAGACAAACTGCTGAGGTGATGGTTAATGACAGCTACATTTTATCCATCTTTTTGGATTTTATTGTTTTCCTAAGCATTTGAAGCAAAATGCTTGACAAAACTTACATTTAGGGAGAAATCATATATTTTTCAGCCAATTTTCGTTTTCTTTTTGTAAAGCTTCAACAGCCAATTTTTATTTTTCCAGCTGTAATTAACAAGTTCAAAACATCTGCCTTCCACTAAATTTTCATATTAGGAGCAGAGCTGATGCCTCTGTGGTTGTGGCTCCATTACAAATGTGCACAAAACTTAGTCAATATTCCACTAACAGCAACCCCCCCCACGCCCCCCCCCCACCCCCAGCCCCCTACTCCAAATGTTGCAATTGTGTTTCCATTAAACAAGAAACACAATTAAAATCAATGTCATTAAAAAGCAAAAACAAACCATCGTCCTCCTACTGCTTTCCCTAACCCTAAACCCTTGAAAAAAAAACACCTCAGTCTAGCACAAAAAACATTTTAAGTTTTTTTGAAAACTTGTGTTTCCATTAAGCAAATTTGTCTTCAGAATTTCAATGTGTGCAGTTTTACGTTTGATGAAAGAACTATGCGTCTTCCTGTTATGTGACCTTGCTTTTCTCAAATAAAAGTTAATTTGTCAGACAGGGGCAGGGTTTCCATTTTCTCATTGAACCTGGTTTCTCCTCCACCGTTTCCACTGATGTTCAGCGTCCTGCTGCGCGCTCAGACGTTTGATCGCCTCCAGGAAGTGGCTGCCTCCTGAAACCGATTAAAAGCTTGTATATTTCTTTGTGCTTGTGGCGTCCTGCAGGATGAGGTCACAGTGCAGAGCAGACCATGCAAGTCTTGTCACTGCATATGGTGACAATCTGCTGTGCTTACAGTAATATTGCGCCCTGTGTGTGTGTAGTTGGTGTAAGCATGAACGCAGAACATGATCATGGAGGGAAATGAAGCTTGAAATGAGCGATTCGACTCCGACAAGCCAGCACGGCTTTTGCCGTGCTGGCTTGTCTACAGGTTAAACATCACTTCTGCTGGTGACGATGATGTCGATGATGATGGTGTGTGTTTTTGTGTGTGCGCAGAACGCTGCAGGTCCTGAGAAAGACGTTGAAGCAGTCGTTTTCCGGCTGCACCGTCATCCTGTCGGAACACAAAGTGGAGCCGCTGCTGGAGTGCCAGTCGTTCCTGGTGAGTTTCCAGCAGCACTCCATCAGCTTCAGCCTCACAAAGTTAAAGACTCTTCATTAATGTTGTCAGTTTAAACATTTTGTTGGCATGTCAGCAATGGTGCTTAATGGCTGAACAAGATGATGGTGTGACGGGAACATGTGACAAGGAGGGCTGGTTACATAAGAGCACAACAATGAAACCAAAATGATTTTTCATGTCTAATTATGTCATCCTTCTAGCTCAGGGGGCTATTGATCTGTACATACACAAATATATATTTTAATTTAAAAATATAAATATATTTAAATTTTTTAGCATTTTTTTTTGTAACTTTTGTTAAATTCAAAAGTTTGCATACATTTCAGATTACTGTCTTTTAATCTGTGTGGTAATTCTAACAATCCTAAAACAATTTAACTTCAGACAGACAGAAAAAAATTAGTTTGTCTTCTAATTTGGTGATGCAGCTTTTTTTGTTTGAATTCCTCTTTTGTCATGAATTAATTACACTGATGTTTCAGAACAGAAGAAGTATTTGAAATCTATTTTTTACTTGTTTTTAGGTTGGAAATGCTAAATGAATCTACCCTATTTTTCTTTTTCAAGGTTTATTGTTTTTCTTTATTTCAAAACCTAAAATTAGAGGGAGGAGGTCTTCAAAGTACTCCGCCCACCAACTCACCACGTCCCGAGTCGAGGTCAGCAGTACACCACCCCCACTGTAAACAGTGTTGCCGCTACACTGCTTCCCCCTCCTGAGATGCTGGATGGTGGACAAGAATCGCCTCGAAGCCATACGGAAGTATGGTCCACCATCCAGAATCGCCTGTGAGATTAACTCCGGAGATGGGAGTTAAAGCTCCGTCTCACAGGGGACTCCGTCTCACAGGGGACCATGGAGTTGTCCACTGACCATGGTCTCTCTGAACTCCTCCCACGCCCGAGTTTTTGCCTCAGCCACCACCAGTGCCGCACGCTGCTTCGCCCGCCAGTACCCATCAGCTGCTTTCGGAGTCCCACGGGCCAAAAAGGCTCGATAGGACTCCTTCTTCAGCCTGACAGCATCCCTCACCGAAGGTGTCCACCAACAGGTTCGAGGGTTGCCACCACGACAGGCACTGACAACCTTGCGACAATGGAGGCACGGAACATGGTCCACTCAGACTCAATGTCCCCCGCCTCCCCCAGGATGTGTTCGAAGCTTTGCCGGAGATGGGAGTTAAAGCTCTGTCTCACAGGGGACTCCGTCTCACAGGGGACTCCGCCAGACGTTCCTAGCAGACCCTCACAACACGTTTGGGCCTGCCAGGTCTGACGGGCATCCTCCCCCACCACCGGAGCCAATTCACCACCAGGTAGTGGTCAGTGGACAACTCCGCCCCTCTCTTCACCCGAGTGTCCAAGACATACGGCCACAGATCTGACGAAACGATGACAAAATCAATCATCAAACTGCAGCCTAGGGTGTCCTGGTGCCAAGTGCACATATGGACACCCTTATGCCTGAACATGGTGTTCGTTATGGACAATCCGTGACAAGCACAGAAGTCCAATAACAGAACACCACTGAAGTTCAGATCGGAGGGAGCGTTCCTCCCAGCCACGCCCCTCCAGGTGTCACTGTCTTTGGCCACGTGAGCGTTGAAGTTCCCCAGTAGAACGAAGGAGTCCCCAGAAGGGGCACTCTCCAGTGCCCCCTCTAAGGACTCCAAAAAGGGTGGGTAGGCTGAACTGTCGTTCGGCCCATAAGCACAAACGACAGTCAGAACCCGTCCCCCCACCCGTAGGCAGAGGGAGGCTACCCTCTCGTTCACCAGGGTAAACCCCAACGTACAGGCGCCGAGATGGGGAGCAACAAGTATGCCCACCCCTGCTCGACGCCTCTCACCGTGGGCAACTCCAGAGTGGAAGTACATCCAGCCCCTCTCAAGGAGACTGGTTCCAGAACCAGAGACTGAATATTTCTAGCAGGAACCTCTCAACCTCACACACCAGCTCCGGCTCCTTCCCCACCAGAGAGGTGACATTCCACATCCCAAGAGCCAGTTTCTGTAACCGAGGATCGGACCGCTAGGACCCCCCTCCCTCGGCCACCACCCATCACACATTGGAAGAGGGACCCATGTTTCCTCTTCGGGCTGGGCCCAGCCGGGCTCCATGTGTAAAAGCCCGGCCACCAGGCGCTCGCCAACGTGCCCCACCTCCAGGCCTGGCTCCAGAGTGGGGCCCTGGTGACCTGCGTCCGGGCGAGGGAACACTCGGTCCAAAGTTTGTGTACATAATAGGGGTCTCCTATGAGACCCCTATGATGGCTTAAATGAAATATCGGCAGAATGTGCTAATTTGTTTTCCTTTTAATTGATTAGTGGATTAATCATCAGAAGAAACGATAGGTTAATTAATAACTAAAGTCATGATTAGCTACAGTGGTAGTTGTAACCGTTTCTCCTCTCATCCACAGATGATCGAGAAGAGCTCTGTGAAAAGCTACGACACCATTCAGAAACTCATGAACGAAATGAGTCACCTGAAGCAGGCCATCAGCCCCGCCGACAGGCTCCGCCTCTTCCCCACGACCCACCGCCTCAACTCCATCAAGAGACCATCACCTCAGACCACCAAGATCTCGTCGCTGCCAGAGGAAGCCGAGGATGAAATCCAGGACACGCGGCTTTAAGAGGCCAGCCGCGCACCAACGCCAGACACATGAACACAACCAGAGTGTGATCCAGCCTGCACACAGTGACCAGTGAGAACGACCGGACTGGCTTCAAACAGAATCACAAACAGACGGATTCTGCCGTAGAATCTGTTTTCATTTAAAAGAGCAAAGGAAACTAAACAGAAGTATTGAATTTTACTTTTGTTTTTTTAAATAAAGCTGAATTTTTAAATAGTATATTAATAATTATAAACATGTTTTTTTATTTTTATTTGAGGTTTTTTTACAGATGACACCAGCACAACGCATGTGGCTGAAACAGTTTAACTGAAAGAAGCACAATTTGATCACTGTAAGACACAACAACCAACGTCTGAATTATTGACATTCAGATGGATGTCAGAATTTCTTAATGCTTATAAATTACCCTTTAAAATTTAAAATACACTGCATTTTAAACTTGAATGGGATGCACTGATGAATCTGTCCTTATTTCCTTCATTTTGATATGGGAAGCTGATTTGATCTACTTTGGCAGAAGTAGATTTTTCATCTTTTTTTGCTGTTGTCAACAAAAAAATCACCCACAGTGAGAGCTCTGACTGACAAACCGGCCCACCAGGTCACGTCTGCATGTAACCAACTCTGTGACCTTCCTGCTATATTTACTGACATTCAGACAAGAAAAAAAAAATCTGAATCACCAGGTCAGACTTTTTAAAGATCAGCCAGAAAACTACAATCAGTGCACTCCTAAATTCTAACATTCATCAACTTTGCTTGGCTTTGATGATTTTTTTATAGTTCTTTTTTATCAAAGTATAAAGCAGAAATCACTGAATGTATGGCGTTATTTTACTGACAACTCACAGCAGCTGTCTGAATCATATGTTTGCATATCCAGGCTCAATGTGATCTTTTATACAGATTATATGATGTGACGGAAAGATGAAGTCACACACAGCTCGGTACGAAACACCTGCAGGAAAGGTTTAGAAAAGCTGACTGAAACGTGAATGAAGATTTGTGTGAAGCAGTGATTGGAGGAGCAGCAGAGAGGGAAAGGATCCTCTGTGTGACGGAGCGGATGAAGTGGAAATGTGGAAATGCTTCATACTCTGGAATTCTTTGTTGTTCCTTCAAGTAACTGGCATCTAGATTATGACTTCTCCAACCATTCCACTAAAAGCAAACACGGTTCAGTCTTTTCATTTTTTAGTTTTGGTTGCCTGGTAGTAAAGCCCCGCCTCCTGCAGACATTGACTCCACCTCCGCATTTCCAGTTGTTTTTATGGTGCTCTTTCGTCAACATTACCACTGCCAGTCTTTCAAGTTCAGTGTCCACCAATCACTGAACTTGATCAGTGATAATAGTTTGTTAAGACAAACTTATGACCACAGAAACGGAAATAGTACTCAGGATTTACTCTGGTGGATCAGGGGGTTTAATTCCAGACACACAACGGGATAAAATCACATTTATCTGGTTGATTTATGGTCTGTTAAAGGTTTCAATCATCATTTAATCTTGCCAACATTTTGTCTTTTACCATAAGCCATGAACTACATACAAACTAATGGAGTTCAGGCTGCAGAAGTGTTAAGTCATTGGTTTATACGATGTAGAACCAGTTTCCAATCAGACTCAGTAAAATCTGTTTGTTATTTGTCTCTAAATTTCCAGTGACCTTTACTCAAAAGCTGACTTTTACTGCACCCAAATGTGCTTTTATTGACTTTACTAAACCTTGTAAAATACAACAAATGTTTTGAAACGAGTCACCAAAATATTCTTCTGCTCAGAAACATTGTTTTTTCCCCCCAGATGATACCCAGAATCAAAGTGAACCTGTAAAATCTTTAACATCCCTTTCCCAAAGCAAATCTGACATTTAAAGTATTTTATGCTTGGATTATTGAATTATTGTTGAATACGTGTAAGAACTCTCAAGTACTTCTGACTTAGACGTTGGTCCATGTGTCATAAAGTTTGAAGATCCCCCTGACAGCATCTAGTGGCCATTAGAGGAACTGCACCTACCAATACCTTGATATTCAACTCCTTGGTGTGAACTTTCCTCCTGCTTGTCATCCAAACACTCAGCTTTTCTGCTCGTGGACCAAGCAGAAGGTACCTGTTTCTGATTTGGACTTGGTTCTGTTAAATGATTAATAAAATCCAGAAATGTGTTAGAGTTTAACCTTTGAACTCAGCTTATGTGTTTCACATGGAACTGCTTTCTGATGATGTACGTCAGAACTTTCAATTAGCCTTGCTGGTGTCAGCACACACACACACACACACACACACAAGCGCGCACACACTCACTATCGTAGCATGACATTGTTGACTGATGCAAGTATTGAGTGATGTCTCAAACACCCCTATTTTCCTATTGCTATGCACTTTTCAGGCACCCTGAGATACTCTCATCAGCTCTCACATATTTTTTAATCCCATCGTTGAAATAAGCCAACATTAAAATTTGAACTCTTGTCATTAGCTAATATGTAATGATTGTTGTGCAGATATTTTTCCATTAGGAAACAATAATTTCTTCTGAAAGTTGGAAAGTCATTTTGATTCTTTAAAGATGATTGTTTCTTCTTATTGTTGAGGAAAGCACTTTTGAAACGGAATATTTCTGAAGGTACCATGAAGAGGAGTTTTGACATAAATAAATACAAATAAAACTTTTTATTACTCATAGGAAAGGTACACAAATGTCCAAAGAACTGAAAATGTTTTTGTTCAATCATCTGTATTTGGAGTAAAACTAGATTTGGAGAATTTGACTATAAGGCTGTGTCTTCCTTTTGTCCAACATCGACATTGCTGATGTTTTTTGGATCTTGCTTGTGTCTCCTGTTGCGAAAAGCTGTTTGGTTCCACAAGACAAATTATTAACCCACCAGCTGCTGTTAGTCAGTCTGACTAACAGCAGCTGTTAAGGTTTAGTGTCAACTCACAATATTTCAGTCATATAGCGTTCATGCACAAATCTTGCACTTTTTGATTATATGATTATTATATGCAAATGCAAATAGTACTAAGTATATTTTCTGGATATTTAAGGGATTAGAACACACTCTAAGTTTTATAGTCTCTTCGGACTATAAAACTCGTCTTTTCTTGGTGCAGAAATGTCTCGACTCAGGACAGACTGCTGGTCTCCAGTTTGTGACCAGATTTTGGAATATGATAATAGTAAGTCATTTCCTCTAATCAGGATTACTTTGGGTTTTCCTCTGAACTTTTTGTTTTGTTTTGGCAAATCATTAGACAGAAATTCTCTCTTTAAATTTCCCAGAGTTCCTTGCTCTTTCCCATTTGTCTGCGTATTCGTCGCCCATCGTCTGGGTGAATCACAATCAGGAAGTCATGTTAGATGTTAATCTATTATAACCTTTAGCAACATTAATTAAAGTGAATGTGTGTGTTTGGATTTTTTTCTAACTCATACAGGATTAGACAATTTAAATTTGATTCTATGGAGACTTGCACATGCCAAGAATAAGTAAAGAAAATGGTAAAAATTTGAAAAATTTTATTTGGATTTCTGTGCATCAAATAATTCTTTAGTGTGCAATCACAATATAGACAATAATGAATCTGAACTTTTTGGCCTCAAGTGAAGGAAAACACCAACGCTCCTGGAGATAAAACGTATTAGTCTTTTTTATTACAGTATGATTATTACTAAAGCTAAATAAAGGCGCATTAGCCCTGATTATGTAGTTAAAACGTATTGATTGAAGATGACTGAATAAACCAAAACTCTCCCGACTAAAACTGGTTTATTATTATTATTATTAGTATTATTGTTAATGTTTAACAGGCTGGAAATAAATAAACATGAGTCTGGTGGAAATGGTGGGCATTTAAAATATTTATTATGGCTTACAACTGACAGTGGACATCCTGTGTTTATACACTTCTATTACTTATTGCCACATCCCTTTCACTTTGAAACAAGTGGAGGGTTTAAAACCAAACTTAATCTACAAACACTTATGTACAAGGTTTAGTGTTCTTTTTTTTTAAGTTTCCTCAGCAGTTTTTCTTTATGGTTTCATCACTGTACAAGAGAAATACCACATACACCAACCTGTAGAGCATTTAAACGTACTCTTATTTACAAATATATTTGGTAAAACCCTGATTAATTTCAACAGTATTTAAACCAACCTTTCAACTATCTGGAGATAAAACACTTGAATGTCTCATAATACTTAATAGCAAAAAACAAGACCGAAGAACAAAAAGCCTGGTAGTGTGTGTGTGTGTGTGTGTGTGGGGGGTGTGTGTGTGTGTGTGGGGGGGGTGTGTGTGTGTGTGTGTGTGTGTGTGGGGTGTGTGTGTGTGTGTGTGTGTGTGTGTGGGGTGTGTGTGTGTGTGTGTGTGTGTGTGTGTGTGTGTGGGGGTGTGTGCGTGTGTGTGTGTGTGTGGGGGTGTGTGCGTGTGTGTGTGTGTGTGGGTGTGTGTGTGTGTGTGTGTGTGTGTGTGTGTGTGTGTGTACCTGTGTGTTGTATTTCTAGTGTGGCCTTATTCATACAGGAGAAGAAGATGATTTCACTGTCAGTACACCAGACGGCTGAACTGTTCTGGATCTGAACGGCGTCCCATAATGCAATGGGCTTAAACACTTGAATTAAGGCAACAGAACAAAAACAACCTGCTGCTTAACTTTGTTTTTTTTTTTTATGTTAGTGTTTTCACTCCTAGGTGAGCGCATTGTTCAAATACTGTAGTAGAATCCACTATGGTCCCCAAGAACACAACTGCAGTTCAGAGTAGCAAGTACAGAGAAGTACAAATCCAAGGTCGTCTTTACATTGAGAATGGTAGGAGGTGGTGGGGTGAGGGGTGAATCTACTGGTTGCTGTTGTGCAGGTCTCTGTGGAGGATCCAGATGTCGTCTTGTGAGTTTCTGCGCTCGTTCATGCTGTTGCGGTCGAACTTGCTGTTGGGTGGGTTCTGCTTTGTTCTGCTGCTGCTGGCTGGAGCTCTCCTGAGGCTCGGTGGGGTCTGAGTCTGGTTGTTATTGCTGCTGCAGGCGCTGGACGCCCGCATCTGCTGCCCCCTGCTGTTCGGGACGGGAAGCTGTGACTTGAGGCGGGGGCCAGAGCGGCGGCTGCTAATGCTGTGACAGGCCGGCTGGATGGACCTGCAGCCCGGCCCGGCGGGACAGACGGCCTGCTGGGACAGATGGACCGATATTATCACACAGGAGACAGAACCTGGGGTTTAGTCAAAGTCACAGCAAAACTATACAGGGGGTCTACTAGTTGAATTTACTCAGAAGGGGTTTCATTCTGATGCTTTGTTCATTTGTGAACACACTGTGACATGCAGCAGCTGCGTTTCCATGAAGCGTAAAGTGGCGCAAATTGAAATGAGGTAAATAAACACACTTACATGCCAACTTCAACGTTTTAATAAGACGTTTTAGTGTTACGATAAGTTGGTTTTTGGGCCTCATCAAATCACATCACGTAAGTCACATGATCAACAGCATGATATTACAACTGGCGAAAATGCTGAAGTTGTTGGAAGATGATAGAATAGTTGTAGTTTTTTCTCACAGCATCACAGTTCATAGAAAGTTGTGTAATTTCATAATTCTTCTGTAAAATCATCGACTGCTATGGCAGTTTGAACAAACATATTGTTTATTAAACTTATATTCTTCACATTCAAAGGAGTTTAAAAACAAATTCCTAAGCTTTGAACTGGCAAGCCAGGAAAGAGTTTCAGAAAACAATCAAAAGCTCCACGGTGACTCTGGAGGAACTGCAGAGAGCTGCAACTCAGGTTGGACAATCTTGTGACAACCATTAGATAACTCTAGCCTTTATGACATTTGCAACAATTTCAGTCTCTAGATGCTGGCAGCATGTAGAGACATACTCTAAATGCCTTACATCTGTAAACGCAGCAAAAAGATTCAAATGATCTGAATAGCAACTGCACAGCAGACTTTACATTTTTCTTCTTTCTGTTTAATAATTATCCAATAGTTTGAGTTGGAATATCACACAAAATCTCAACATTTTATCATTTTAGAGAGGATAAGGCAATAAAAAAAAGTGTAAATATTTGTTTCTGTGAAACTTCTCGTTACCTCCGACTGCTGCTGGACAGCTGCTTCCTGGTTATACTTGTGGTCAGGCTGTTCCTTACTGGGAGTGCTGGGAAACAGGATCAAGCTGTCTTTGACCTGGGAGATCTGTGGGACCCAAGAGAAACATTTGAAACAGCTGGGTAAGAAAACCTGAGGCTCAGCAACTAAAGCTGATAAATACAGCAGGTCCACAACATGACATGGACTTCCTGTGGTCTGTGCAGAATGAACCTGCTCACTCAGCTTTGATTATCTATTTTTGAATGGTACTTGATGTGGTGTGACCTCTCCCACATCAAGTACCAGTTACCAGAACAGGAGCTCATGAAACATTAACAGCAGCACCAGACACACTGACGGCCTCCGCACTCAGAACCACTGTCAGCTGTGAGTCAAACTATTAGCATAATGTTAAAAATCTTCCCGTCTGATCAGTAATATTAATTATTGTTCATAAATAAATAATAGACTTAGAAATTGTCATGACGATTAGCCAAGCTTAAAATGTGGATCTGCATTTAACTCTGTACTGTCTGGCATCTGTGGCAAAATCAATTTATTTCTGACATTTTATCTAGGTACTATGTAATGCTAAAAAACACACATTATAACTGCAGTAAATGTTTCTTGTTCTAAATGGTTTATTTAAAAATTAGCAACAGGAAGGAAAATGGGTTTTCTTATCTGAATTAAGAGGGTTTAATTCTACCGTCGATTAATTATCAACTGCTCTGCTTTTAAAAAGTCATGGAGTCATGCTAGCTAGCTATCAAACTTTAAAAACATTAAAACATTTTTATCAATTTTAATTCAATAAGATTATTTTCTTTTTAAAAAGAAGTTGGGATTTTTAGATCTAGAGCAGCATCTATGTTTAGCACATTACATGCTAATCACGCTAGCTTTAGGAAAGTGCCTGGAGACACATTTGTCGTGAATTAGCACTGTATGAATAAACTGAATTAAATTGAATTGAACCAATAGTTTGGCAGCTAAACAGCTGTTAGTTTTTAGAGTTAGACAAATAAAGACCAAAGCTGCAAGATGCAATACATGACTTGCAAAATATAAAACAACCTACAATTTAAGATTAGCTGGCATTTTATCTCACAATTTCAGACTGAAGAACACTATTATTTAGTATTTTTCTAAATATTTGTAGGTATAAAAAACTCATTTGTGATGTGCTGAAATTAGAACGTGAAATAGCTGAATGTTCTCAACAACAATAAAATATCAAGAAATTTATTAAATTAGTAAGAATCATGTTATTAAGGAGCAGCAATGTAATATTTGATTAGTTTTAAGAGGAAACAATAAATCATGCTACATGCTAAATGTTTAAGTTAGATACCTTGATACAATAAAAAATACTCCAGTCAAGTTCATCATACCATGAATATCTCATACTGGCCAATACAGCAGGTCTGACTGGAAACACTGAGACAACAAAGGTTACGATAATAAAGGTAATAAAGATTATGTTTCCCACACGTAAAACTAAATTTAAGTGCTCAGGAACTTCACAAGAATTCAAACATTTTCAAGGATTTCCACCTGCATCAGCCATGCTTATTAACAACGTAGCAGCACCAACTTAAACAGGCTTTCCAAAGGTAGACATTTATCATCAAGTACCATTGTTAGAACAAAACATAACAAAAAAATCACCCAAAC